TTCTGTAAACTTTCACCCAAATCACACACAAACAAAAACATCCTAACCCCCTCAGGTGGCATGTGTTTTACTCAAGTTCCCAGAATTCCTGGGAGAGATTGCACTCCAATTGCCCACAGTGGTTACTGACTTTCTTCTTTCCCTGTGTCACTTCTCCACTTTCCTGCCCAGGTTTCCTGGAATTGTCTCCAAAATAAATGATTTATGCTTGAATAATTGTTTGCCTCAGGTTCTGCAGAGCTCAAACTATAACACTCCCAAATGATTAAACCATCTCCCAGTGCCCCACCTCGATGACTTCAGTTCTTGGAATCTTTCTTGATGCCATTTTTTGGGTGGACCCACCCAAACAGCCCCACCTCCACTCCCTCCTTCTGTAGTACCTTCTCTCTCTGATTCAGCCTCTCATCACTCATGCTGATATGGGCACACCACTTTCTGCTTCCTAGCTGGCCTCTTCATCCAGACTCCTCTGATCCTGTTCTTCCAGCATCAAGGGAGAGAACAAGACCTTCCTTATTCACCCAGAGGGGACTTTCCCTCCTGTTGGGTCCCCCAGAGAGGGCAAAGTGCAGTAGTGCGTCTCCACCTGGGTAGGGGATGGAGGAGAGGCATTGAAGGCAAACTTGGTTAGTCACTCAGAAAACATGTTCTAAGAACATGTTCTGGGTTCTGCGTTAGGTGCTGGGTGCCATGTTGTCCCAAAGCTGATTTGTGCTTGGCCCCATACCTGCTCAGTCTGTCTGTAACTCTGACTCCCAGCAAATGCAGCCTTAACAACAGATATAGGGTTCCTGTGGCTTTAGAGCCTTGGTAGCTGCTGCTACCCTCCTCCCCTGGCACTACTACTACCATATGTCCCCACAAGCAACTCCAACTGACAAAGAGAGATAGGACCTGGGGACCAGAACTTGGGTTCTTGGTGGCTGTTGGGTGGAGATCTCAGTTCTTTGCCACGCAGGCCTTGCCACAAGACAGCTCACAACATGGCAACTGACTCCCTTAGATGCAGTGAGCAAATGCATAAGAAAGAGAGGGAGAGAGAGAGAAAGAGGAGAGGAAGAGAACAGTGATGGAAGTAGTCATGGTCTCTTTGTCACCTAAACTCAGAAGTGCTATCCCATCACTCTTGTTCCACTCTATTCACAACTAAATGAAACAATGCCTAGTCCAGAGCCATGCCCATGATCAGTGTGGGTCAGACCATTGTGATCCATAGGGTTTTCCCTGGCTGATCTTCCTAGATTGTCAGGCCCTTCTTCCCAGTCTGTTTTGGTCTGGAAGCTCTGCTGAAACCTGCTCAGTCTCATAGCAACACCCAAACCTCCACTGAGGGACAGGTGGTGGTTACACAGGAGGTACCTTGGCCAAGATCAAACCTGGGTCTCCCACCAGGCAGGTAAGAATTCTACCACAGAACTACCAATGCTACCTTCTCTTGGATTGGAGCCCCTATAAAGTTTTGTAAGTGACTACTTCCCGTGGGAAGGTGGGCGGTGAAGCAGGCTGGATCCCTGCTCTCTTGCTGCTCACTATTCAGCTGAAGAAAGAGCTTTCTCTATTTTCTTGTTTGGTTCTGGGCCCTCTCCCCAAATTCCAGTGACCTCCATATTGTATGGAAGAAAAAGAATATCACTTTCAAAATCAGAAACAAACCTCCCTAAGTATACTACAGCATCCTATCGATTTCTCCCAACTAGGGCTTCTGCTTTAGACCATCTGGGTCCAACAGAATCGTGCTGTGACTGAGATGGGTTATTTATGCCACTTCTGTATGTGTGCTGTCGCTGAGTCCCCATGGCTCCCCACAGCAGCCCCCACGTGCCCATGGAAGGCTGTGAGACCAAACTCTGGCCTAGAAGCTGGAGAAGCCCGAAGTCTGGGTTCTCCCACCCATCTGCCACGCTCATTGTCTCAGATGACTAAGACTACTTCTTTCCCATGATAAGGAAATAAATAAAGGCTTTTGATTTTTCAGCTAGTGGGAGAGGTGGGGGTGGAGGGTGGATCTGATTTTCTGTGTCTTTTGCTTTTTTTCTCTCTCCCTCCTACAGATTGGCTTCCAAATACCTCTTCCTCCACCCCTCCATGCACACCCCGAAGTTGAGCAGGGCACGGAAGTGAAGAGAAACATTACGTCATGCCATTTTCCACTTCAGGCTAAAATCAAAGCTTTAATGGGGATGATCTGTGCATTCAAGGACTTTTGTTCTCACTGGGCCCTGAAGTGGTGGTGCTGGTTCCATAAAAGCTCTCAGGGCAATAAACCGGAATGTCTTTTCTCTTGGAAAAATCAAAACATACACACACAAACACAAACACACAAATCTGTCTGATAGAAGAAACTCAACAAATGACACTTATGTCCCACTCCAGTTTCACTCTGGAAGCAGAAAAGTGACTGCAATGAAAGGTGGTGAGTAAATTCCAAAATTCTCTCTCTGGAACCTTAGATGAGACTTCTGCTTCACTTTGGGCCACCTACAAGCTTCTGCAGACTTCAGAAGTGGCTTAGGATAGAGCAGCTACATGGCCCTCAGAGGCAAAGTCGTCGTGGAGAGGCCACCTGCCATGATGCCATCCTGGGATCCTTCTCCCATCAAAGGCCTGTCTCAAAGGTCATCTCCAGGAGACAGGCTGTATGATGCACACAGCATCAGTTCCCCCAAGTGTGGCTGTGTGCTGGATCCTCTCTGCTATTAATAACTCTGCCAGTGAGCAATTATGCTGTGAGCACATTTCAGAGACTCGTCAGGATACAGTGGTTCTTGGCCCCCAGAGCTCCTACTCAGAACTGCACCCATGTCAAATTCCAAGCTGAGTTTGGATGAATCAGATAAGTTACTCAACCCCCCAAGCTTGCTGAAGAGAATCTCTTTTTCCTTCAGTCTTAGGATAAAACCACCCTGCACACCTATGGAGACCTCTGGCTACCAACTGCCCTGATGTCCTACCTTTTCATGGCATAACAGACTTCCCACCTAGTCAATTACAGAGTAGAGTGCAGCTGAGAAGGGATTTGGTCAGGACAGAGCTAGTGATCAACTTCTGAAAATTAGCCAACGGATCACAACAGAATATTTTCCAATATCAGGCTTGAAGATGAGCCTCTAGGTTGGAAAGCACTCAAATTATAGTGACTGCAACAATGGACTCAAATGTATTAACATTCATGACCAAGTAATGTTTCTTTCTGTGTGCATGGGGTCACCATGAGTTGGGGCCGACCGGATAACAGCTAACAACAACATGTGTTGCACTGAATGGTAGACTAATGTTGAGTCCAACACTTTCTTAGTTATCTAGTGCTGCTGTAACAGAAATAGCTCAAGTGGATGGCTTTAACCAACAGAAAGTTATTCTCTCTCAGTTTAGGAGGATAGAAGTCCAAATTCAAGGTGCTGGCTTAGGGGAAAGCTTTCTCTCTCTGCTGGCTCTGGGGGAATGTTCTTATCTCCTTTAACATCTATGGGCCTGGCGTTCCTTGGAGATCTACATATGTCTTGGCATCAGTCTTTTCCTGGGTCTAGGAGGTTCTCAGCACAGAGATTCCAGGTCCAAAGGATGCACTTTGCTCTTGATTCTTCTTTCTTAGTGGTAGTAGGTTCCTCTGATCTCCACTCACTTGTCACTCTTTTATATCTCAAAAGAAATTGACTCAAGATACAACTTAACCCTGTAGATTGTATCCTACCTAATTAACGACTGCCTCAATTCCTGTCTCATTAACATCATAGAGGTTAGGATTTACAACACGTAGCATAATTAAATCAGATCGCAAAGTGGAGAATAAATTACATAATACTGAGCCACATACAATTCAATCCATAACAGGCACTTAGCAATGGGGCCTCTCACTGAATGTCGACAATCTCACTGCTTATTACTCCTCTTTGGGAGGCAGGAAAATTGAGGCCGTAAGTAGTTCAGTCACTTGCCTGGCCTTGGAGAAGGATATGGGGGGGCATGAAGGGAAACTGTATATCACGTTCACCTCCCACCTCGCTGCTTCAGCCATCAAAACCTTCCTGGGAAGGGTGGGAGGCCATTCCACCGTCAAACTCAGCAAGTCTGAGCTTCTATAAGCAGTGAGGCAAAAGAAATAAAACACCAACATCCTCTGCTCCTGTCTCTTTTAACACTTTGGATGGGGTTGGGGGGTGGGTGGGGAGGAGGTGGAGTTTTGGAGAGGAATGACTGGTTCTCCAATCTCTCCTTGTTGTTTATATTTGGGAGCTGAACCCTTGGGACATTCATCACATTTGGTTCCTGGCTGATTTAATACTCTGAAAAATAACTCCCTTTCCACCTGACTGTTGTGAATGACTATCAGGAGTGGGGGTGGGCTTGTCTCAAACGGAGGTCAGAGGGCCATGCCACGTCTGCTGATGAGTCAGGTGTGAAGCCAGCCTGAGCATCTGGACTAATTTGTCCCGAGCTGCGGGCTGTCTGCCATTTCCTCCTCTCCCGCCCTTATTTGGAGCCCCTGCCAGCTGAACCACAGACCAACTGGGGGAGCTGGGCGCCAGCCAACCACCAGCCTCTGCTTCCCTGCATGAGTCCGGTTGCTGAGGAGAAAGAATCCTGAGGCATCACTGTGAGATAACCAAAGACTCTTTTTTGCTCTTCTCACACCTTTGAAGTGGGAGCCTCTTGAGGCCAATCAGCAAGAATGTGGCTCTTGTGGCCGAGGGTCTGGGACTGTGTGTGTGGGGGGTGTTGCTGGGGCTGCTTAAGGCAGAGGGGTCATGGCGAGCTCCGCTGGGCTGATAACTTTAAAAGGGCATCTTCGGCGGGCTCCTCACTCAGCTGCTTTATCACTGCAAGTGACAGAATGGGGAGTGTCCCACCCCTCTTGCGCTCTTGGAGAGCTGGGGGGGCTATAAAAAGAGGAGGCACAGGGCAGCTGGGAGCCAGAGACAGACAAAGGCCACTCAAGGGAACCCAGAGAGGAGGGAGAAGACACAGCAAGCATTAGAGCACCTCTTGGCTGACACCAGCATGAGTTCCTTCTCCACCATCACCGTGGGCTTCCTCTTCTTCCTGGCGTTTCAGCTCCCAGGTCAAACCAGAGCAAACCCTGTGTACACCTCCATGTCCAATGCAGACCTGATGGATTTCAAGGTAGGGCCAAGAAAAGGGGCTCTGGCTGGGACCAGGGGGCTTTCTGATACTGTGCCCATTCCTGTTGGTTTTCTCCAATTCCATGAGACCTCTCCCTTTCCCTGTATTTTCCTTTTGTAAAGAATTTGCTGGATCGTTTGGAGGACAAGATGCCTTTAGAAGATGAGATTGTGCCTCCACAAGTACTAAGCGAACAGAATGATGAGGCTGGGGTGGCTCTTAGCCCCCTCCCGGAGGTGCTTCCCTGGACCAGGGAGGTCAGCCCAGCCCAGCGAGATGGGGGTACCCTTGGGAGGGGCCCTTGGGATTCCTCTGAAAGAGCCTCTCTCCTGAAAAACAAGCTGAGAGCACTGCTCACTGCCCCTCGGAGCCTGCGGAGGTCCAGCTGCTTTGGGGGCAGGATCGACAGGATTGGAGCCCAAAGTGGCCTTGGGTGCAACAGCTTCCGGGTAAGAGGAATGGGGTAGAAATGGGGTGGGAAGGAAAGAAATTTCGGTTTGGTTGAAGTTGAAAACTTGTCAAAGAATGTGACCAAGGGATACTTCCAGCAGGAAATGGACAAGCATAAAGGCTTGTTGCCCTTGAAATTTCTGCCCTTACTTGGAGGTTGGCCCATCAGGACAGTGCCATCATCCTCAGCTACTGCCCCTACCCATTGCTCCATTGCTGTAAAGTTGATTTTGACTCATAGTGACCTTATAAGACAGAGTAGAAATGCCCTGTAGGGTTTCCAAGGCTCTTTACAAGAGCAGACTGCCACATCCTCCCCCCATGGAACACCTACTGGGTTCAAACTGCCAACCTTTTCATTAGCAGCTGAGTGCTTAATCACTGTACTGCCAGGTCTCCTTCATGCTGCATGGGGAAATTAAAATGTTCATAGGCCCAAGTCATCTTTGTACTGCTAATTAGCAGTTCATTTCATTCCCAGAATCACAAGATCCCAAAAGATCAAGCGAAATGGACAAGAGCTACTCTCACTGGATTCTAATGAGGAATTTGCTTACCAGTTCATGAAACTCAGAGGGTGATCAGGCTGGGCTTGGGGGCTGGTGGAAGTAACTGGTCAGAGGTCAAGTTAAGAGACATAGCACTGTCATTCAAAGATGACTTTTCCAGTAGAACTGGTCACCAAGCCAAACATGTCTGTGTTCTCTTTGTAGTACCGAAGATAACAGCCAGCCAGGGAAGAAAAGGTGGGCCAAGCCGGGCAGACTCTGAGACCCTCATCCTCTTTGATCTCTCACTCAATCCTGTCCCATCTCATGGCCATTGAGTTGATGAGCACCTGTTCCAGCTGCAGCTTCCTGCCCATGGTCCTCCCATTTTATGCTAAATGTAGATAAAATGGGTTAATTTTGTCTTCCCCCTCTCTCCCACTCCATGCATTAACGTTTAGGATACACTCCACCTGTTCTGAAAGCGGTTTGAAAATGAATAAATGTCAGCACCACGGACAGACGCCAATGGCTTGGGTTGGTGTGCTTTCTTTCATGACCAGGGAAGAGAGAATTCAGCCCACTTCTCCTTGTCAGTGAGCCCTGGTGGAGCAGTGGTTAAGCGCATGGCTGCTAATCAAAAGGTCAATAGCTTGAACCCACCAGTCCCTCTGCGGGAGAAAGATGTGGCAGTTTGCTTCTGTAAAGATGGACAGCCTTGGAAGCCCTATGGGACAGTTCTACTCTGTCCTATAGGGTCTCTGAGTTGGAATCAACTCCATGGCAGCAGGCGCTTTTTTTTTTGTTTTTGTGTAATTTTACTCTTTGCCAGAAGAATGCTCAGTTTCTTCTTGCTACTTTCATTCCTTCCTCCTTTACTGCCTTTTTTTTTTTTGTGCCTGATGAAACTGCAGTTCTCAACCTGTTCTGCCTTTCATTCCAGCCTCAGTCACGGGTCCTGAAAAAGCCCAAGAGACTGAAAGTTTAGTTCAGATTTGTCACTTCCAGAGAACTTTTCTGAAACACAGACTTACAAACAACCAGACTTATTTTCTGGTGAGATCTAACATAATTTGTGTTCACTAGATGATTTTTGCACTGATAGTGCTTTTTGGTCAGTCATTTTTAAAAGACACTGTATAATCTGAAGGAGCTCTGGTGGCATAGTGCCTAAGGCATTTGACTGCTAACCAGAAGGCTGGCGGTTCAAACCCACCAGCCACTCCTCAGAAGGAAGGTTGGGCAATCTACTTCTGTAAAGATACCACCTTGGAAACCCAAGGAGGGGTCGTTATGAGTCAGAAACAACTTGATGGCAGTGGTTTTTTTTTTTTTTTTGGTATAATCTGAGGGTACTGAACTTTCTGATACACCTTGAGAACTGCTGGAGACAAGTGAGTTGTACTTTTAGTTTTTGGGGAAAAAGAAAGGCAATGTGTCGGGTTTAAAAACTGAGGAAATGAAGAAAAAGATTTGCTCTACTGGCAAACTGAGTTTGGGTCTTTTGGATGTTAACATGTGTGCCTAAAATATAGGCGGCGTTTTTTGCTAATTCAAGTCTAAGGTACCTGGACTTGCAGACTTTTGAGAATGTGAGGGCCACTGGGGCAGATGCTGTGCTTTTGACTCTGCTTCTGAAAAGGGTGTTGTCCTAAATAGAAAATCCAGGCATTAAGTCCACCTAGAACCGGGAGTAGTACTCTGTTTGCCCACCTGTCATCCCCCCCCACCCCGACCCCACATCAGATCCTGCACCACTCCTCCAACACTCCTGTACCTACCTGTGCCCTTATCCATGCTGTTCTTTCCATCTGGCATGCCCTTAATTTGGTCCTGAGAACACTATTCATTCCTCAAGGCTCCTTGTAAATGTCATTTTTTCCAGGAAGTTTTCCCCGATAGTGCATGCCAGTAAAAAACTAATCTCTTAACTCTTCACGGGCAGTGTGGTGTATTTAACTGTTACAATGTAACACAATGTTGTGTGTGTTCATATCCCTAAAGAGATTGCAAGCTCCTTGAAGTTTATAAATGTCCCATCAGCATCTCCTGCAATACATGGCACAGTTGGTGCTCCATAAATGTTGGTCGAATTGTCTTGGTCTTCTGCAGAAATTAGGGAAAATATTGTAACAATTCATTCCGTGTGACTAACAAAGACAAGGGTAAAGAGACAAAATGCATCTGGCCAAACGTGGGTCCTGAAGACTGGCACAGGGGGTGTGAGCTCCTATGAGATAGAGTGGTGGCTGTGCAAACTCCCAAGGTGTCACAACACAGTGGGTTCTCCAAGGGATGGAATCTACTTAAAGTACCAAATACATAAGGCAGAAGATGCCCCCAGGACTGAGAGGAGACTTAGGGATAAGTGGAGGAGCTGGGATGTCTGATTCAGACTGTTTCCACCACTGCTGGAATGGCAAGTCAAGGTAGATCAAATAGACACAAAGAAAGTCCTATTTCTTGAAAAACAAAAGGCAAGTGAACGAAAAGCAGTGGCAGATGGCATTGGCAGAGGCTGGCCACGAAATCCAAATACCTACAGATCCAGTAGTGATTTTTATTTCCTCTAATGATTTTTATTTAAATCTCAGGAGACCTGTGAGACAAACTCCTAAGTATCACACTGTCAGGAATACCAATGGATCTGCCATCAAATGCTTTGGGAAGCAGCTGGAAGGAACAGGTGGTCTTTGTAAGAATGGAGGGTGTAATACATTTAAACAAGGTGCAACACACTACACTGAACAAGATGTGATGTGTTCACGGAGTCCTGGGTGGTGCAGGGTTAACACACTCATCTGTGTGTGCTTTGAGTCCACCCAGAGATGTCTTGGAAGAGAGGCCTGGAGATGTACTTTGAACACATTAGCCAATGGAAACCCTTAGGAACACAGGGTGCCGCCATGAGTTGGAATTGACATGGCAACTGTTTTTTGTTTTTAAATGTGCTCATTTGAAGGGAAAAACAGAATGGTAACTTTATGATTTTTGCTAGGCTCCACAGGACTAAATGTCGTCTAACATAGACAAGTTGGCCCCTATGAAATAAAGAAGCATGCTGGGAGAGCTATATAAGGGGAACTTGAACTATAAAGCTACTTTCGAGCTTTGTAATTTTTATGTATTAGGAAGAGAGAGGGAATAAATACAAAACCAAGTATTATGCTAAAGAAAAAGAGCGTGGGGACAAAAGGCTACAGGAGACAGATGACGCGACATTTTATTGACATGTTACGTTTACAGTGAGAACTTCCAAGTTTCAAAAGTTCAAATAAAAATATATTTTTACAAATTAAAAAAAATACAATTTATGTACACAGTGGAATTAGCTAACATTACTTTATAAACAAACAGTGCAAACAGAAAACAGGAAGCTGCTGCTGTGAAAGGGCCCAAGTCCACAGGAGCCAGGGCAACACTGCGGGTCAATACTGCATGGGCCCTTGCGGAGATGTCCTTGTCCATCCACGAATGCCACGTCGGTGCGCAATTTTGCCTCAGAAACATGATATGGTCAGATGGGCCGAGAGAGCAACTATCTGTTCCAGCTTGGAACCGTTAGTTAAACAAGGTCAGGATCAAAGCATCCCCAGGGCACAAAGGGCAGGACCAGACTTCCTCCCCTTCCCCAGTCTCCTCAACCGCAACACACCAAGCCGAATGCACGGAGAGTGCCTCCAACCCTGCCCAGGCCTGGGTACTGTGGGTGTGCTGCACTGAGGTGCCTAGTCACTAGCAGGTGATGGAAGTCCAGCTCTCAGGGGCTGTGAAATCTGGAAGATGTTGGAAATGCTGGCCTGGTTTCTAATACAGAACTCAGAGGGTGAGGCTTACAGCTATTTTGTTGTAAGTGGAGAAATTGCTGTCTTTGGGCTTTTCAGGAAAGAGTAGATGGAGCCAGGAGGTAAGGAAACAGAGCAGGCCTCTGCAGAGGACCCTGGGCCCTCGGCCCACCCCAGCGGCCGTCCAGTTGGTTTTGGGGGGGGGGGGTATTTGCATTCTACTATCTATCTCTGGGAACAAAATATCCAATGACTCAAATACAGCGTGATGTGCACAAGGGACAAATTCCAGCCACATTCACCCAGGGCAGCCTCGAGGCCAGTGGGAGGGGACCCACCCTCCTTTGGGGACCAGAGGGCCTTCTGCAGGGCTTCAGTTCTGCCAACCTCATCAAGATGTGGACACAGGGGACTCAGTGTCTGTGACAGACTGGCACACTATTCTCCTGACTTAGTAGTTGAGAGTTTCTTTTTAATAAAGAAAAAATAACGTGGCCACGCTCTGGATGTCTCAGTGTAAGAGTGGCAGCTAGTGGAGCAGTCACATTTGGATGATTTACCTTTCTGGTCTTGTGATTTCCTGAACCACTGATTGAGAGTGTAACCCCCAATTTACAGGTCAAGCGCACCTGGGGAAGCTGAGAACTTTAGAAATTAATTCTGGTCAAAAGATAAGAAAATGGAGCTGAATGGAGGGGGCCAGAGTCAGTTGGAAAAGATCTAGAAGCAGCAACACACTTATGTGGCATTCTTTCTGAGAGTGTCAAGCCCGAGAGCTGAAATGGCCAGGCCTGGGCTGACCATGCCTGCAGGCTGAGGGGCAGGCTTTGCCAAGAAGTGGCACAGGGCTGAGAGTGAGCAAATAGGCTGTCAGGCCAGGCACTAAGGCCCTCAGCAAATTCTGGGGTCTTAGAAATAAACAAAATGCAAATGAATGCTGCCCTGAGTCCCCAAGCAAACCTGCCCCAGGGCTGCGGGGTGGGATGAAGACACTGACTGTGGCGAAGCAGCAAGGGGAGGAGACGTACCCACACCTGAGACCAGAAGCTTGGTTTTAGTGCCTGTTCATGAAAGGGCCTGATTTTAACCAGCTGGAGGGAAACTAAGTCACTGAAAGAAACAGGGGTTCCCTATGTTTCCTGCTGGCAGAGAACATCTGCCCCTGCAGCAGAGCCCCCAGTAGGTTGGGGACAGCTACCAGCCAGGAGTGAGACATGTGTATGAAATGCAGATACCCTCTTCCTCGAACAAACCATCTGCTTTATCCTAAGACTGGCCTTTCAAGACGCTTCCCAAACCTTTCAGTGGTCATGGGCTCAGGACCCCACACCCTTCCATCTCATAGAGAACTATATTACTTTCCCAAAAGTGAGCCCTTTCACCGAAGAGTGCCCTGCTTTCAGTAAACTTGGTGGGGTGATGCCAAGATCCTGTCTGTGGCTGCTTCACCAGGAAGATACACAGGGAAAGTTAAGGGAGGTTCCGGTATCTGTGGAGATGGAAAGGATCAGGGCAGAGATGTGCTCCGAGGAGACCTCGAGGCTTTTGGGAAATGCAGAGAAAGCTGAAAGTGTTAAAAACGAGGGGAGATGTACTTCTGACCCTATTTGAAGATTTTCTGTTCAAAGACTACTACTTGGGTTGTAATGCTTTGTGCTTCTAGAAGGTGTGGGTTATAAAGAGATTCAAGCCACAGGACCAGCTGAGAGCACCTGCTCATACCCAGGAAGCAGAACATTCCCCTCAAAACAAGGTAGAGATGGTAGCAAGAGTCCCACAGTGGAAGGCCTCCCTGAAGCCTGGATCACTTCCCCAGTGTCCAATCCCTAAATTTGGTATTAACTGAATTTTGCAACTAGCATTCCCCCAGTGTTTGCCTTGGCCAAAGTCCCTCCTGTGGTTTAAGGCAACACCTGGGTTCTCTAGGAAAGCAGCATGAGGGGCAGGAGAATGGCTCTGTCGCCCCCCAGCGGCTGAGGCCTGACTTCCACCCCTGGTCTGGGTCCTGGGGGGTCTGGGGTGGGCCTGTGCCAACACTAGATGGTAGGAACATGGGGAGCAGGAAATGGGAAGATATGGCGCTGTAAGTCAGAAAGTCCAAACTCCGATGGTTCAATACCCTCCCCACGATCTCTGACCAGCTAAGTGTCCGATGGTTCCAGGCTTTCTGAGCGAGTGGTGATGGAATCTTTCGTGCCCTGGCACAGCCCAGCCGGCTGGGCAGCTGGAATGTGAGCGAGCCGCCTCCCCGGGCAGCTCCGAAGAGGGCAGTGGCATGCGCAGCACGAGGCCAAGCAGGCCGTCAGATGGTCTGGTAGTGCTGCCGCAGCCGGGCCTGCAGAAACTCATTTGTCAGGTTGTGCCGTGTGATGATCCCAACAATCTAGGCAGGGAAATAAAGACCCAAGTCACTTGCAGGAGAATCCGCATTGGCAAGAACATGAATGAAAAGTGCTCGGCCACGAGCTGTGGTGCACGAGGGAGCCAGATCAGTGGATGACACAGACGTCACGCGAGGACGCTCACTGAACGCTTTCTAACGCCGATAAATGATCGAAAACCACAAAGCCAGCCTGCTGCCATCAAGTCGATTCCAACTCATGATGACCCCAAGTGTTACAGAGCAGAACTGTTCCACAGGGCGTTCTTGGCTATAGTCTTTACAGAAGTAGTTTGTTTAGCAGCTGACTGCAAACCACCTATGCTACTCAGGAACCTTGATAAATGACTGGGGATGCTCACTTCAAAGGCTTCTGATGTCCAGGTGAGAAGACAAATAGCTAACTAAAAACCAAACCAAACTCACTGCCGTCGAGTCGGATCCAACTCACAGCAACCTCTCCTTGGGTTTCTGAGGCAGTATCACTACGGAAGTAGATTGCCCAACCTTCCTTCCAAGGAGTGGCCAGTGGGTTTGAACCACCAGCCTTCTGGTTAGCAGTCAAATGCCTTAGGCACTATGCTACCAGAGCTAACTAAGGGGTCAATAAACTGGAGGCTTATGGGACACATTTAACTCCACAAAGGTTAAAGCTGGCCGAGATCTGAATTTGCTGTCTGTTTGAACAGGGCACACACTCTCTCTCTCCCAGCGTCACCACACCCAGGCTGCTTCATACATGCACACAACAGAAGTTGTTGTTGCGTGTTGTCCACTTGACTCCGACTCACAGTGACCCTACAGAACAGTGTTGAACTGCCCCACAGTGTTTCTTAGGCTGTAATCTTTATGAGGGCAGATCACCAGGTCTTTTCTTACACAGAATGGCTGGTGGGTTTGAACCACCAATCTTCTGTTTAGCAGCCAGGCGCTTAATCATTGCACCACCAGGGTTCCTTTGCAACAGGCTTGGCTCCTGCTAAACATCATCATTCCTACTTTTCAAAACCACCCAGGAAAGTTAATTTTTCACAATTCATTATAGTGGTTCATGTTTCTCACTGGTGCCAGGCACACCAAAGCCACGTGATATTGACTGTTAGAACTCATCGGTGGTGTTGGTACTTACATTTCAAAGAACATAATTAAATCTTTTGTGACTGACTGTGTAAAAACAAGCTGTGCTGCATCTGGGTTCTTCTGTATGAGCCTATTTCATTCTAAAGAGGTGTGATCTCCTGGCTGGCAATTTGGCAACATGTATCAAAAGCCTCAAAAATGTGTAACAGAGGACTGTTGAATGGGTGATTGCCCAGCGGTAGCATAGAATGCTATAGAACTAATAAAAGAATATCATGTGTGCATGTTTTCTGCCATGGAAAGCAATTTCCCATACAGCAAGTAAAAAAAATCAGGCTGGCTACTAAATATGAAGAGTGATTCCGCCTCCATTAAAATTTGCTAAGTAAAATATTCTGCTTCTAGATGTGTAGAAAAAAGATCGAAAGGGTATATTCTGAAAGGTAACATGAGGCCCTCTGGATGGTAGAGGTAAGGATCTGGTTCTTCTTTGTTTTTATCTCTCTTTTCTTATTTTTCTACAATGAAACAATGGTATCTGTGTAACAAGAAAGCAAGAAAAGTTATTTTAGAAAAAGAAAAAAATGGGAAGTATGTAGCAATAAGCAATAGCTATTGCATATTTTGCAAAGAACCCTGGGGGTGCGATGGGTAAGCCCTGGCTGCTAAGCAGAAAGTCAACAGCTCAACCCTCCTCTCCCCTCAACAGCTCTGCATGAGAAAGAGCTGATGATCTGCCCCTGTGAAGACTGCAGCCTGAAAACCCTACGAGGCAGCCCTACTCTGGCACGTGGATCGCTCAGAGTGGGAAAGGACTCAATGGCACCCAATAACAACATATTTTAAAACAAAGTATTTCGTTTGGCGAATAGCAACTGGGATCTTAAAAGCTTTCAAGTGACCATTTGGATGCAATGATGGGTCTCTCTTTGTTCAGAGCAAAGAAGAATGAAGAAAACTAAAGACGCACGGAAACAATTAGTCCAAGCGACTGGCACACCATGCGATCCTCAGCCTATATGACCGTGAGACCAGAAGAACTAGATGGTACCCAGCTACCACTGTCAATCACTCAGAGGGGGATCTATGTAGGAGATCCTGGATAGAGTGGGAGAACAATGTAGAACAAAACTCAAAATCATTAAGAAATAAAAAAAGGGAAGGGGACCAGGTTTGCTGGTCAGATAGAGCCCTGAGACTACGGCTCCTAGCTGCCCTTCAGGTCTGCAACTGAACCCACTCCTGTGGCTTCCAGCCAAACAAAAGACAGGCATATGAGCTGAACATTTACATTAGGTAGATACACTTCTTGGAGAGATCAATCATAGGAGGTTAGAAGGGCTGTGTATGCACAGGGACATAGCTCGGGAGGCAGTAGTGCATAGGAGGGAGGGATATAGGGAAGAAGTAACTATAGGGAGGAAGTGGAAAGAGAGCTGTTGCACTGGGGAGATTACAGTCAATGTCATGCGACAAGTATGTGTGAGCTACTCTATGGAAAATGAATTTGTGTTGTAAACTTTCACCCAAATCAAAATAAAAGTTTTTTGTTTTTTAAAAAAAGAAGCATTTTGTGTGAAATCCTCTCATCCAGTGTTACAAATTCCCATAACAGGTAGGGAATTGGTAACACAAAAAACAGGTCTCTGCCTGAAGGAGACACCCAGTCAAGGGTGAAGAAAAACATTTTAAAATGAAGGAGACTGTCTTAAGTGTTTCGGGCAAGCAGAAAGGCCAAAGTCGCACCGACGACATCTGCCAGCCAAACAGGAGATAGAGCATAATAAACCCTTGTGAGTCAGGCTGAATCCTGGAGAAAGGTTTTAGCAGCTACAATGGACAGTTCAGTCAGCCACCCTGTGCCTGGCCCGCCCACGCTCTCCCACACCTAATGGGAAGCTGCAGGGGTTTTAGATTGAGACACCTGCCTTCTGGTTGAGCATCTCTGTCTTTGGCAGGATGGTGGGGGGACAGCAGGGCACGCAGCTAATGTGCGGGTGCCAATGCACAGGTCTTCTGCTCCCAGAACTCAACTTACCTCTCCCACGGCGTTCACCACTGGCAAGTGCCGCAAGCCCATCGTTCTGAACAAATTGAAGACTTGAGAGACATGGGTATTTGGTGAAACAGTAAAGGGCGAGGGGTTCATGTACGGGGTGACATCCTGCAGGGAGGAGAAAAACAGAGTCACCTATGGCCAATTCTACCTCAGGATCAGAGGCAAATATTCCAGATGGGCCCAGCTCAGAAGGGGCCACAATAGCGCCCGCTGTAGGCCACTGCCAGAGGCCTCCTCTCCAAAGGGACAGCCTTTCTCACCACGATCATCCGTGGGTTCAGCAGTGTTAGGTCCAGGTCGTGGATATCAGGGTACCGTGGGTAATCCTCAGCCATCTCCGCATAAGAAAGGCGTGGCTGGCTGGCACTCTGCAATCAAACCAAGACACTGCTCACACACAGCAGTGACATTTCGGGCCCCCTCCTCCTGCAGGTGCATATTCTCCCAGCTGAGAGGGAGATGTGCAGGACAGAGGCTGCAGCTGGTACCCCGCAGTCAGGCACCTTGACCCAAAGCCAGCTCTGGGCTGGGTCTTAGCCGTGTGCCCTGGCATGTCTCCTTATCAACCTGAATGTCGCTTGAAAATGGGTCATTCTGAAATAATACTCCACTGACCATCACAAAAAAAAAAATGAAAGAGAAAAAAGAAAACTACAGGGGAATTAACAGGAAAAATAGTTATTTCTTTTGCTAACACGTGTAAAAAAGTTCATCCAGATCAGAAATTAAAATAGAGATAGAATATTAAAAGCTGCAATCTTGTCAGACTTTAGGAGGTCAGTAGGGGGCGCTGGGAACACCTGAAGTGAAGAGCACTGGCTGGAATCACTCCTTGCCATGCTTCTCAGCACCACACTGGGAGGAAGCACTGACCATGCAGGGGGCTGGGAGGGCCAAGCTCACTGCTCAACAGCACCCTACTTGCACAAGAACTCCCACAATATGGCCTCTTCTCTCCCTGAGGTACAAGGAATGTGTTCCTACCACCCCTGTACCTTCCAGAATCCCAGTGCTAACGAGGAGCGAGACTTACCGACTGACTTTCAGAATAACAAACTCCTCGGACGAGCAGGGTGACCAGTTGCGACCGAAGGATCAGGCCGTGAAAGGTCAGAGGGCGGAAGCGCTCCTCCATGGTCCAGTCTTCGCTTGGGGACTGGTCAGGGTATAGGTTGGGGTAGGGAGTGTATCTGTTACACAAAAACCAGATACGGCCTAGTATAGCCTCAGCAGGAGTGCTTTCGTCCATGTCCCCCAGTCCACTCCCCAAATTCCTGGTGTGGTGGTTATGTTTGTGTGTCAACTTGGCTGGGCCTGGTTGAGTGGCTGGGCAGCTGGTGGTAGTTATTACCCATGATGAGACTGGCAATCAACTCCATGGTGGGCTCTACCAAAAGCAGCTAAGCAGTTGCTTTGGGTCTGTGGTTTGCTTCCCATACATAAGCAGCAGCTTTGGGAATGGTCTCTAGCCTATGGCATACTTGGACCCTGCATGTAGCCGTGTCGTTCAGTAGCCTGCCATGCTCTGCCGACCTTGGGACTTAAAATAGACTTGAATTAATGGCCTGCTGTGTGATTTGGTAACATTGGGACTGTGCCATTTTATTTGTCAACCTTGGGCTTGCTAGCCTCAGCAGCCAGTAGCTGCCTGAGTGAAGAGATGCCTCTAGCTTCAGTGGGCCAGGAGCAAGAGGCAGAGCTGGAGCCCAAGGTCCAGAGGCTTTCACACAGCCCCAAGAGCCTGACACTCGGAACTTCTAGCCTCCCGAACTATAAGAGAATAAACTCCTGTTTGTTAAGGCCATTGCATTTGTGGTATATTCTTGTCAGAGTGATACTAGGTAACTGAAACACCTGGGAAACCCAAGAACTGGGAAACAACACCTGAGCCAAAGGTTGGCTCCTCCCCAGCCCCCTACGGGTGTGGGGCTCTTCACGAGGGGAGCTGCTGGTCCCCCATGCGGCCTCTCTCACCTCCTCTCTAGCATCTGTTGCAGTAGGTCCTCCTTCTCGGCCGGCTCCTCAGAGGTGACGTGCTCGTCACACATGTTCCGCAGCTCACTCGATGGGTAGGACTTCATGGACTGGCTCCGCTTGCGCTGCTCGCCGGCCCGCGTGAGGATGCTGGATTTCTGTGGACGGGAGGGGTGAAGGTGGCAGAGGCTGTGGGCTGCTGCACGTGAGCACACCAGCTGGTTTAAGGATCTGGTGGACAGTGAGGGTCAAAAGCATACAGCAATGTAGGAATGGAAAGAAAACTTTACAATGACTCCAGGGCTTGTCATTCAAATGAGCCTCGAAGAGTCCCACCACTTGGCTGAGACCCTGTGACCCATAGTGGCCCAACATCCCACTCCTTTGGTTTGGGACCACACTTTAATTCTCCATTGGAGAACAACCCTTCTCTTATGTCACATCTTAGCGGAAATGTACCCCCACCCCCAGCCACTGATGCCAAGGGGTAGGCACATAACCCAGGTGAGGCAAGTGGACTCTTTCCCCCTAGGTTTTGAATCTGGAGTGGCCCAAGGACAGAGACCAGTCAAAGCCGACTCTTCTCAGCCCTTAAAGAGAGCCCACTGGCCCCTGGCACTCTTGTTCCCAGAGCATCTGGTTCTGACTCTCATCCTCCTGTCAGTCCCGAGGGTTCCAAACGAGTTCTTTTTCTTGCTTAGGTAACTCAGATTCCATTTCTGTTGTTAGCAAATCTAGAACCCTCCCAGATACAGCATGCACTCAATAAATTACAAATGAAGCCTGTGATGAAAGAATCATGGTTTCCTAGGGCAAGAAGCCATGCCTGTGTGGATGGCCTAAGAAAGTCCATGCTTGCTGCCAACTCTATACTTGCTGTCACATATAATGGAAACGTGTGCTGACTTCCCATAAGAGCCACCATGTCCTCCCTTCCAGAGGTGTGGTGAGCACTAGGTCCATTTAAGTGTCTTTTCTCATTTGCCTTTTCTCTCAAACTAGTTTTGTTACCTTGAATTTGATGTTGTTACTGATGAGCTGGTTGCCCTTCATGAACTCCTTCTCATTGCCCCGGTTCTCCGTGACCACTGGGAAGGCGTGGTGGACTGTGGTGCGCAAGATGCTGACCAGGGACTGGATGCGGGTGTGTGGGTAGACATAGGTCAGGTTGGGCTCCATGATGTCACTGGCTCTCAGTCTAGGGAATGGAGGGGAGGGAAGCATCTAGCCTAACTGCAGCCCACAGCTCCAGAAGCTGACAGGGCTTCCCTGGTCCTCCCACACCACCTGTGGGGCCTTCTTGTAGACTATCTCTAGTGGCTCCCTGAGCCCAGCACATTCCTTTGTTACCCTTACACCCAAGCTATCCTCTGTGCCTGCAACCTATTTCCCCTTTGTTAAACTGGTGGGCTTTTACTCATCTCTTAGCTTGATAGGAATGTCCCCTTACCATGAACCCCATCAGCTTGCCCAGGGGTTGGCCATTTCCTCCTGGCACTCCTATGGCATGTCCCACTATTGCTGCAGAGTTACTAATTATACTACTGGAATTGGAAAATATGTATGTTTGGGTCTTTCTGTAGACCAGAAGTAGGCAAACTAAGACCACAGGTCAAATCTGGCCTTGCTCATTCATTTATTTATATTATTTATATTGTCTAAGGCTGTTTCTATGCTACGATGGCAGAGTAGAGTAGTTCTAAAAGAGACTGAGGCCTGCAAAGCTAAAAATATTAACTATCTGGCCCTTGACAGAAAAAGTTTGCTGACCCCTGCATTAAATTATAAAGACACTACTTGATATCTGGACATAGGATCCCAAAGTATTGTGCACTGATGATTATTAAGTAATTATGCCCAGAATCATCACTGATAACACAGAACTTTGCTAAGCACATGGGAAGCCCACAACTTCTCACTCCCAGGGCTTAGGATGCCCTCAATGTAAAAATGGAATCGTAGCACAAACTGTATCCAGAGGCCTCTTCTGGGAGAGCAGTCACATTTAACCAGAACAGCACAGGAGCCAAACAAATCCAGAAGAATGGGCCCGGCCAACCTCAGCTCCACTGTGTCTCTCTCATCAGGCCCGTCTCCTGCTCTGCCCACTGTGCTCCCAGCCAGGCTGCACTGCTCAACATTCCCAAACACGCTCGGGCACAGGGGCTTGCTTTTTGAAAGACCTTCCTGTTGTTACCGTTTCACCTTCTCTAACCCAAGCATCGTCTACTATTCCAAATATTCCTGTTTCCTACCCAAATACAAACATTCCTGAAACCCTAAAATTTATACTGCCTGAAATGAGGACGTGAAGAGGAATCATGGCTTTACTTGTCCATTTCCACCTCTGTCTCCCATTCCAGAAGCGGCACTCCTCGCAGGCCCACATGGATATCATAAATGCCCTTATTGAAAAAGTCCCCTGTCCATTTGGCCACCTGAAACACAAAGCAGACTTAAAATAGGTCTTTTGGGGCAAACCTGGCTGTGAACCAGAAAGAGGCCAAGAAGGGATATGCTCACCATGAGGGTGATCATAATGGGAAGGCCGTAAGTGATCTCGTTGGTGGATTCGATCAGGATGACTGTGAGGCTGATAGTCATGCGGACGACCCCACCTAGGAAGGCTGCAGCACCGATGAGGGCAAAGGTTCCCGAGTAGATGTGGCCCAATCCAATGTAGCTAGTGACAACGAAAGCCAAAAACGTGACTCAGAATCATATCAGTAGGTGGTGAGGAGGTCTGTGGTCGCACAATTGTGTACATGTACACACAAAGGTGTATGCATGTGCATGTGTATGTGCATGCACACACGTACACACACAGAGTACCTTTTTAGGACATTGGCAACTAAACGTCCAAAAGCAGCTCCACACAGCAGAGAAGGCACAAAAAGGCCACTTGGAACAGAAATGCCGTAAGTCCAACAGGCAAGCAAGAAATAGAGGGCGAAGAACAAGGCCAAAGTGATGGGGCTGAAAGTACCTGCAAGGCAAGACCCACCCTGAGTCCCACTGCCAGCTGCAGCATGCCCTTCCAAGCCCCAGCCAGCTCCCCCTGCCAACAGTGAAGGCAAAGACTCTAATCAGTGGTCTGGGTGGGCAGTTCAAAGACAAAGTCCTGTTCTTGCGTGTAATTAAGGGCAAGCCTGGCTCTGTCTGCAGGGCAACAGAAGGGGCAGAGGGCTAACGAACATCTGTCTCCCGCGGAAGAAACCAAGCACCTGGAAAGGAACTGAAGCGTTAAGACTCACCATCCTGGTGGAAGAGCTGAAGGATGGCCGACTCCTGGGGATTGAAGAAGAGGGTGGCCATGTCATTGTAGGTTTCATTGGGACAGAAAAAGGTCTTGATACTTGAATTCACGTCTTCTAATGTGACCTAAGAAGTATCAATCAGTCAGTCCAGGGGCACCTGACCAGGAAACTCTTGAGTCCAGTGAAGTAAAACAATTTTGGCTTGAAAACTTTATCCATAAATTAAACAGGCAGCAAAAAAACAGATCTATGTCTACAGAGGAAGAATTTAACTTTACCCAAAGGAATTTAGTCTCCGATCTTCATTACATCTCAATATAAAGGAAATACAAATCCTCACAACTGGACCAATAAGCAACATCATGATAAATGGAGAAAAGATTGATATTGTCAAGGATTTCATCTTACTTGGATCCACAATCAACACCCATGGAAGCAGCAGTCAAGAAATCAACTCACATATTACACTGGAGAAATCTGCTTCAAAAGACCTCTTTCAAGGGTTAAAGAGCAAAGATGTCACTTTGAAGACTAAGGTGCACCTGACTCAAGCCATGGTATTTTCACTCTCCTCATATGCATGTGAGAGCTGGACAATGAATAAGGGAAGAAATGAAGAAGAACTGATGCATCTGAACTGTGGTGTTGGTGAAGAATATTGAATATGCCATGGGCTGTCGGAAGAATAAACAAATCTGTCTTGGAGGAAGTATAGCCAGAATGCTCCTTAGAAGTGAGAATGGCCAGACTTCATCTCTCATCCTTTGGTCATGTTCTCAGAAGAAACCAATCCCTCTAGAAGGACGTCATGCTCGGTAATGTAGAGGGTCAGCAAAAAGGGGGGGGACCCTCAGTGAGATGGACTGACACAGTGGCTGCGATGATGGGGCATGGCAACAACAGTGAGGATGATACAGGACCAGGCAGTGTTGTGTAGGGTGCTTTTGAGTCAGAACCAACTCGATGGCACCTAACAACAATTTTGTCTTTGCCTTTGTTTCCTGAGATATAACTCTAAACCTTTGGAATTTCCTAAGTAATTGAAATGCCTTTGTTATCTAACAGAGCTCTGGTGGTGCAGTTCCTAAGGCATCTGACTGCTAACCAGAAGGTTGGTGGTTCAAATCCACCAACCACTCTACAGAAGCAAGACTAGACAATCTACTTCCATAAAGACTTATCACCTTGGAAACCCAACGGGGGTCGCTGAGTCATAATCGACTCGATGGCAGTGTTTTTTTTTTTTTTTTTTTGTCGTTGTTGCTATCTAAGGCCTCCAGACCACAAGTGAAGGTCTGTGCCGATGAATACTCTGGCATCAGCCAACCTCAAGGAGGAGGGGTATGGTTCCATCGATCATGTTTATGCAATGAGGCCTCAATAAAGGATCAGCAGGGAAGCTCCAAGAACTTCTAGTCGGAAAGACATCCCCATCTGTGGGAGGGTATCCTTTACTTTCTGGGACACAGGAACTCCACATTGAGAACCCTCTCAGACCTCAACCTATGTGTCCCTTTATTTGTATCCTTTTTTCCTACAAAAAAACTGTAACTATAAATACAACACTTACTGTGAGTTCTGTCATCCCAGTGAATTACAGAACCTGAGGGAATTATAGCCAGTGCATCAGAACTGAGGGAGGCTGGAAACTTTACACTTAAGAGGTCGAAGGAATCCCTAAATTTGTAGCCAGCAGATCAGAAGTAAGGGAACCTGAGGACCCCTAAGCTTGCAACTGGCATCCTGAAGGGGTAGTGGGAAAAATCTGAATTTGTAACCAGCAGGTCAGGAGTGAGGGGAGCCCTGGGGACTCCCAAGCTGGTGTTTCAAGTCTTGGGCTGATGTGGCCGCCTGGACCGAGCTCTGGGTGCCTGGGGACAGAGGAGGCAGTGGTGCATGTGACAGCTGAACAGAGAAGTAAAAAGGGTGGCTCTTGATTTATGTTGATTATCCTTGCAGCTGGTGTCAGAAAAAATGGATGTTGAGGTTTTTTTATCACGCGTCCAACAGTAGTCAACGGAGATACTGTATTCTTTGCATTTGAGAATAAAAGAATCAGAAAGGGGACCATTATTCTTCTATACTTGTAATGGAAAAGTAACTACAACTATGGCTCACCACATATCAGGCTGTACTTCCTCTCCTGATAGGTGATACTGCTGGCAGCCTGGCCTGAGAGCCCCCAGGACTATGGGAAGATGAGGCAGGTGAGAGACCACCAGCTGGGAGTTGATTGGTGTTTGGAGAAGAGAGCCCAAGGCACTGCTTGAACTAAAGCCCCAACTTTGGTTCCAAATGGAAAAGCCCTCCATGCTGAATTTGCTGCAAAAGAAAACCGGCCTCAACACAAGGCCTGGATGGCAACTCCAATCACACCCCCTGACACTATCTGGCTGAACAAAACCAAACTGGGAAAAGAGGGCATTATACATACAACAGATGTCTTATTCTCTCTGCCATTTTGTGAGGGAAGATGAGATTCTGGTACTGCCTGGCTTATCACAGGGCAAGGGTGTCTGGAGCACGACATTTCTGTTTTCTAATGGATTTTGTGCAATAGTACAGGGGCCATTCCTTACACCAGCCACTGCATATGCAAACAAAGAGTGTTATTAAAAAGATTAATTAAGGAGATGGATTTTTTTTTCTGGATTCAATTTACTGATGACAGACTGTAGGGATGACCTTATGTGGACTAATTAGGCAATGGGTTTGTAAATCCTACCAGATGAACCTGGCTGGGCAGTAGAGTTGCATGAAGGCTGGCACAGGAAACAGACAAGCACTCCCATTGGCAGAACCTGCAGGGAGCAGCTGGCAAAGCAGAAATGTGTATAGAGCCCAAGTCCAGTATCACAAAGTGGAACAGAGCTCCTGGGAGGGTTTAAAGCTGAGAGGATAGCTTAATAACCAACACATGCAGTGTTTCCAAAACTAGGTTTGGAGGAACAGAAGGTGCTCTGGAAAGAGCCTGGCTGACAAATGCACTGAGCAGTACTAGCTTTTTCTTGGAAGCCACTGTATCTGCTGAAAGCAGGGCCCAGGCTCCACCACCAGACAGACCTCCAACTCTGTTCATCACTCATGACCTTGGTAAGGTATTGTGCGAAGTTTCAATTTCTTTATCTGCAGCACACCTACCTCATGTTATACAGGTTTATTTCATGTTACACATAGTTCAAGGGTTAGTACAGTATAGTAGTTAAGACTCTGGACTTAGAGCCAGCCTGCTTCCCTCAACACCTGGCTCTGCCACTTACCAGCTAAATGAGCTTGCTCAAGACTTGACTTTGCCTCAATTTTCCCATCTATCAATGGGGATATTACCACGAGCTGACATGATTTTGGTAAGGATTAAATGAGATCATGTACGTAAAGTGCTCAGGAGGGTATCTGGCACACAATAAACACTCCATAAGTACTGTCTAGTAGGACTATAATCATTATTCACAATATGATTATTAATGACCTATTAAAGGCCCTAAGAAATCCTGTACTAAAGAAATTTGTGGCACAAATAGTTAAGCATTCAGCTGCTAATTCAAAAACTGGTCACCTGACCTGGTGAGACTCCTCAGACTATGTCCCTAGCTGCCCTTCAGGTCTGGAACTGAACTCACTCCTGTGGCTTCCAGCCCAACAACAGACAGGCATATGGGGTGAACATTCACATCAGGGAGATACACTCCTTGGAGTGATCAACTGTGGGAGAACAGAAGGACAGTGTTTGCACAGAAGATAGCTCGGGGGATGGGAGCGCATGGGAAGGAAGGACCCAGGGAAGAGGTATCTATTAGGAGTAAGTGGGAAGAGTGTTGCTACACTGTCAGGAATTGCAGTCAATGTCATGAAACAAGATGTGTATGAATTGGTATGGAAAATGAATTTGCTCTGTAAACTTTCACCCAAATCACAATAAAAATTAAAAAAAAAAAAAGACTGATGACTTGAATCCACTCAGCAGCTCTGTGGGACAAAGGCCTGGGGATCTGCTGCTGTAGAGACTGTAACTACAAACCCCACAAGGCATGTCCACTCTGTCACATGGAGTCGCTGTGAGTCAACATCAACTAGATGGCAGCCAACAACCACCGTTTGAACAAAGAAAACTGTTTTGTTTGTTTTTGAATCATACATACCAATGTTCCATAGAACACATTTTGGAAAGCACTGGTCTGGTAATGAGGTGGGCTTGGGGAGTAACTACTAATGATCTATGACAGGGGTTGGCCACTTTTTCTGTAAAGAGCTAGGGAGTAAATATTTTAGATTTATGGGCCACATAAGGTCTCTGCTATATGTATTCTTCTTTGCTTTTTAAAATTTGAAATGCTTTAAGAATATAACAACAATTTTCAGTTTGGGGGCCACAAAAATACATGTAGTTGCCAAGGGCCACATTTGTCGTTTACTGACCCCTGATCTAATACATTCTAACTCTTCCTGGACTGTTTCTGGGGACACTGAAGAGGTCTATGAGGACCCAAACCCAATGTCATCAAGTCAATTTTGACTCATTGCCCTCACTGGGTTTCCAAGGTGGTAAATCTTTATGGCCAAAACAAGGCCAGGAGTTGATTATGTAATAGACCATCAACTGTTCATATGCAAGTTCAAGTTGAAGCTGAAGACAATTAAAAGAAATCCATGATAGTCAAAATATGACCTTGATTATATCCCTCCTAAATTTAGAGACCATCTAAAGAACAGATTTGATGCACTGAACACCAATGACCGAAAACCAGAGGAATTGTGGGATGACATCAAGAACATCATCCATGAAGAAAGCAAAAGGTTGTAAAAAAGACAAGAAAGGAAGAAAAGACCAAAATGGATGTCAGAGACTCTGAAACTTGCCCTTGAGTGAAGAGTAGCTAACACAAATGGAAGAACTGACAGAATAAAAGAGCTGAACAGAAGATTTCAAAAAGCAGCTCAGGAAGGCAAAGTTAATTATTATAATGAAATGTGCAAAGATCTGGAGTTAGAAAACCAAAAGGGAAGAACACGCTCCGCATTTCTCAAGCTGAAAGAACTGAGGAAAAAATTTCAGCCTCAAGTTGCAATATCGAAAGATTCCAGGGGCAATATGTTGAATGATGCAGGAAACATCAAAAGATGGATGGAATACACAGACACACTGTACCAAAAAGAACTGAAAGATGATCATCCATTTCAGGAGGTGGCATATGATAAAGAACTAATGGTACTGAAGGAAGAAGTCAAAGATGTACTGAAGGAACTGGCAAAAAATAAGGCTCCAGGAATTGACAGGATACCCATTGAGATGTTTCAACAAATATATGCCATGCTGGAGGCACTCACTCAGCTATGTCAAGAGATTTGGAAGACAGGTACCTGGCCAACTGACTGGAAGAGATCCCTATTTGTACCCATTCCAAAGAAAGGTGATCCCACAGAATGTGGAAATTATTGAACAATTATCACTGATATCACATGCAAGTAAAATCTTACTGAAGATAATTCAAAAACGGTGGCAGCAGTATATTGACAGAGAACTTCCAGAAATGCAAGCGGGATTCAGAAGGGGACGTGGAACAAGGGGTATCACAGCTGATGTCAGATGGACCTTGGCTGAAAGCAAAGAATACCAGAAAGATGTTTGTGTTTTACTGACTATATAAAGGCATTCAATTTTGTGGATTGTAACAAATTGTGGATAACATTGAGAAGAATGGGAATTCCAGGACGCTTAATTATACTCATGAGGAATCTATACATAGACCAGGAGGCTGTCGTTTGAACAGAACAAGGGAATACTGCATGGTTTAAAATTAGGAAGGGAGTGCATCAGGGTTGTATCCTTTTACCACACTTATTCAATCTGTATGCTGAGCAAATAATCCAAAAAGCTGGACTATATGAAGAACAATGTGGTACCAGGGTTGGAAGAAGGCTCATTAACAACCTGAGATACACAGATGACACAATTTCGCTTGCTGAAAGTGAGGATGACTTGGAGCACTTACTGATGAAGATTAAAGACTACAGTCTCCAGTATGGATTACACCTCAATATAAAGAAAACAAAAATCCTCACAACTGGACCGATAAGCAGCATCATGATAGATGGAGAAATGACTGAAGTTGTTAAAGACTTTATATCACTTGGTTCTACAATCAGCACCAATGCAAGCAGTAGTCAGGACGTCAAAAGATATACTGCATTGGGCAAATCTGTTGCAAAAGATCTCCTTCAAGTGCAGAAGAGCAAAGATATCTCCTTGAAGAGTAAGACGTGTCTAATCCAAGCCATGGTATTTTCAATTGCCTCATACGCATGTGAGAGCTGGACAATGAATAAAGAAGACTGAAGAAGAAGAGTTAATGCTTTTTTTGAGTTCTGGTGTTGGCAGAAATTGCTGAAAGTACTGTGGACTGCTAAAAGAACTAACAAATCTGTCCTGGGAGAAGTGCAGCTGTAATGTTCCTTGGAAATGGGAATTGCCGGACTTTGTCTCACCTACTTTGGTCATGTTGTTAGAAGGGACAACTCTCTGGAGAAAAATGTCATGCCTGGTAAAGTGGAGGGCCAACAAAAAAGGGGAAGGCCCTCAACGAGATGGACTGACAAAGTGGCTGCAGCAGCAATGTTGTGATGGTTATGTTTGTGTGTCAACTTGGCTGGGCCTGGTTGAGTGGCTGGGCAGCTGGTGGTAGTCTGGCAATCAGCTCCATGGTGGGATGTACCACAAGCAGCTGAGTAGCTGCCTTTGGGATGTGGTCTGCTTCCTGTATATAAGGAGAAGCTTTGAGAATGGTCTCTAGCCTTTGGCACGCGTGGACCCTACAAGTAGCCGTGTTGTTGCTCAGCAGCCTGCTATGCTCTGCCGACCTTGGGAATTAGAGTGGACTTAAGTTAATGGCCTGCCATGTGGATTGGTAACATCGGGACTGTGCCTTTTTACTTGTCAACCTTGGGGCTTCTCAGCCTCAGCAGTCAGCAGCTGTCTGAGTGAAGAAACACCTCTAGCTCCAGTGGGCCGGGAAAAGGAGGCAGAGCTGGACCCCAAGGTTGAGGGGCTTTCACCCAGCCCCTAGAGCTTGGCACTTTGAATTTGGACTTAAGGCCTCCAGATTGTAAGAATAAACTCCTGTTTGTTTAAGCCATCCCATTTGTGGTATATTCTTGTCAGAGTGGTACTAGTAACCAGAATAGGTGGGCTCAGGTATAGTAGGGATCGTGAGGCTGGCACAGGACAGGGCAGTGTTTCGTTCTGTTGTACATAAGGTCGCTATGAGTCGGAGATGACTTGATAGCACATAACAACAACAACAGCAAAATCTTTATGGAAGCAGAGTGCCCCATCCTCCTTCCACGAGTGGCTGGTGGGTTTGAACTATCAACCTTGTGGTTAACAGTCAAATGCCTTACATGCTATATCACCAAAGCTCGTAAGAGGACCCAGGAACCCCTAATAAAGGCCCCAGAGGGTCTCAGAGAGATCCAAGTGGTGAATGCTAGGGAAGGCAGAAGCACTTAGAGAACATTGCCAGGCTCCACCTTAGGAGGCCAGAACCACAAATCTACTGGACCACAGACTAAGTCTTAGACCCACTGTGTTAGACCAAAAAACCAAGTATACAGTAAGCTCCATCCCCTCCCTCACTGACCCTGCTCTTTCTTGGAAAGGTTCTGGAAAATGCCACATCCCCCTAGGAAGGAGGGAAAAGAAAAATGCAAAAAGGATGCATGCCTAAAAAGAAAAAAATTGGGGAAGCTAGTAGATGAAAAATATGATTGGCAAAGTATTGGTAACTGCTGAAAGTGGGTGATTTAAAAAGAAAAAACAAGATGCATGCTAGCAAAAGAGATGACCCAGTAAGAACCGTAGGATGCTAGAGGAGTTAGGGCGGTTGTTCACCCTGAGGCAGAACTTGCTTTTCTCCCTAAGGAGCGGCTCTGACAATTACAAAGTACCTTTTAGGAACACAGCAGTGGGAGGGTTAGATAGGGCCCGGGGAAGAAGTGGACAGTCAGAGGTGTCCCATCTCTGGTGGCCAGTGCTGTTTACAAAGGTGGAAGAGACAGAAGAAAGGAATCTGGTGCATAAACTCTCTTGGGTAAAAAGATCTAACAAACACATTCTGTATCCCTTAGGAATGGGTATGGAACAATGAACCCAGCACATCTATTAGCTGTAAAAAGAGGCAAGCCATACATTCCTGGCTTCTCCTTCTTTGTGGGTGTAGGATTAAAGGAAGCAGGTGCAGCTCTGGGGTTACCTGGAGCCGGAATGAGTCATTACTGATTTGACTTGAAGACGACATCTGTCGGCATTCTCCTAGCACCATTGAGGCCACAAATATCACTACGGTGGTTACCAGAGACACCAAGAGGCTCTCTAAGACTCTAGGAAACAAAGCACAGCTGTTATTACATGAAAACAGACACCCTGGTCTTGGGAACTCAAAAACACAACCCTGCCCACCCCCACCCTCAAGTCCCTAAAGAGCATTCACAAGTCGTCCCTGGGCAGTCAACACACGTGCCGAATTCATCAGTGACTCGCAGTATTCTGGCAATGTGTACATAAAAATGTAGTCAGTGAAGAGGGCTGCTGCATCCACACCATCTTTCTGTGAGGAAAGGAAGCCCCAAGGTGAGAGTCTCTGAACATGACAAAATGCCCCCAGCAGGGCCACACTGACCCTTCTGGACTTTGTCATGTGTCCTAGCAGCAAATCAAGGGAGGCTGGGACTCCACCAGGAACCCTGATATAAACGAAGCTCAGACATAGATAGCCTTTTGGCCTGTCTGACAGGTAGATTTATGACCCTGTTGACATTCTCAGTCTTAGACACGAGATCAGAGCTGTGCTGGGAAGCAGGGTCTGCTCACACAATCGTCTTCCTCAGAAGAGATGGCCCTGCTCACACGAAGCTCAGTGAGCCCCAGCCAGCTGGAGAAGGCAACTGCACAGGTACCTGACAAGCTTAGGTTTCGGGTGCACATTTCGCATACGGTACTTTGCAAGCCTCTTGTTCAGACAGTTGAATGTGGCTCCCAGGAGGCCCCCAATGACCCCCATGATGACGAAGAAACCCAAATCCATAGCTGTCCAGAGGTGACATTTTTTATCAGAGTCAGAGCACTGAGAGAAGGGGAAAGGGAGGGAGAGAGAAAAAGCAGAGTGCCCATGAGAACAGGGAGGGGCAGGCATAAAGACAGAAACAAGAGCAGTACCAGCTTGCATGGGTCAGGGATGGGACCTGCCCACACCAACCACCGGGCCGCACGGAGAGCAACCAAAGGGGCAGAGACACCCCCATGTGCAGCGGAACCTGCCCTGAGCCCTACTCCTCCAGACTTTACTTAAAAAGGCCACAGTAGAAAGAACAAAGTGTACCTTAAACTCGCCAAAGTTCAGCAATCCGGGGAGCTGGAAGGAACCCCAACTTCCAAATTGAATTCCAGAACGAAAGAAGTTAAGAGTAAAGGTAGCAGACATGGAACAAAAGAGCTAGAGGATAGGGACAAAAATAAGACAATTCGATAGTGATGAGTCCTATTTTTCCCCTGACAGTTGCTCATAGAACCAAAGCTCTACAAAACAACAGCTATCCTCACGTCTGTGGCTCAGAGATTAGGTTGTTAAGTGTCATCAAGTCAAGTCTAACTCATAGCAACCATACATGGCAGAGCAGAGCGGCCCCACAGGGTTTCCCGGCTGTAATCTTTATGAAAGCAGATCACCAGGTCTTTCTGCTGTGGAGCTGCTGAGTGGGTTTGAACTGCCAATCTTTCAGTTAATAGCAAAGTGCTAATCATTATACCACTAGTGCTTCTATGGGTATAGAAAAAGGCATTTGTCACAGAGCCAACCCCCCGGTCCCTTCAAAAGTATTGTTAAGTGTATTGAGTGAGAGATGCCCAATTTAATTTTAGGGGTTTCAAACAAGGTTCCCAGTGGAGGCCTCCTCACCACTTTCCATGTGAGCCCTTGGTTCCAGAAGGATGAGCCTTCCTCCAGACTGAACAAGGTGCCCCCGATCGGGGCCCCAAAAGCTGCAGCAACTCCGGCAGCCGCCCCAGCTGAGACAAAGTCTCGTTTGTCTCTAAGGATCGAGAAGAAAGCATTTGTCAGAAAAGGAGCCCACAGGACACAAATGCCAGTCTTCTACTTCCTTATCCAAGCATTAGATCTTATGACCTACAAGCACTTGGGTTTGTGAAGACCCTGTTCTCTGTGAGGTGGCAAATATCATTCACCTATGAGCCAAACACCCTCCACAGGTAGGTTTCTCCAGGTGTAGTGGCTCCTGTGCCTGGGAACATGGACCCCAGATCCCATGTCAGTCACCATCTCAGGAGGCAGATCAGCAGCAGACTCCATCCAGAAAACTACAGCATCAGTGCAAATGTCCAGTGCTGGCTACCCCAGAGGAGCAGGTGCACAGTCACCCACTGAATAAAGCTATGACGGTGGACTCTAACTCTGAACCTGAGCCCCTGACTCCAAGGGCCTTACCAGGTGTGCAGAAAACAAATCCCATACGGCTAGAAAAGTCGACCGAGAATAGGCTCTTCCAACCTAGCAAGGTAGCTGAACTAATTAATTCATTTTGGAATATAAAACACATCCCTGACAATATGCCTGTGGACTTCCTTTGTTGTGTTTTCAATCTTGGCATCATTGCCCAAGATGCTTCTCAGCCTTATGTCATAATCAAATAGAAGCTGTAATGCCAGCTTGGTCCTTTGGCTTCTCGTTTTCAGAAGAGTAGCTCAGAGTCCCTTCTTTTCTCACAGCTGGGCTTCCTATACAACCTGCCAGTAGTGGCCAGGCTGCGGAAAGTATCAAGTCTGACTGGAAGTAAATTAGTACTTTGCTTTCTAATAAAACCTAACCCTTCCATACCTGTCACTTCGGAAATAAGGGAAGTTAAACTGGATCTTCCGTAAGGAGATGCTCTGGAACTAAAACAAGAGAAAACAAAGTCAGAGAGGGGCCCACGAGGCCCAGCGCTACAGGAGTCCACAGCACCTGGGGTCCCCTCTGCTCTAGCACACCTAGGCAGGTGTGCTCCCAGAAGGAGGAGGCCAGGACAGCAACCTGGAGAAAACAAGTTACCTCCCCTGAGAGGAAATTTGCTTTTCTATTCCCAGATTTCTAGGATCTTCAGAAACGGCATTTTATGTGTAGTCAACAAGTGAGAAACAAAAGGGGAAAATTACAGAGCAGTGGGTTGGAAGAACCAAAAGCTACTGTAGAAGATAAAAGTAGTCCTTCTAGGGGATGTTGACATATGAGGAGGCCATACAGTCATGTTTCGATCTGTTCAGCATTCCCATGCTGACACCCAATTCTTGCTTGGCCTCCTCCTATCTCTCAACTCACTTCTGGGAGACCTGGTACTTGATGTAAAGGAGCTGAGGCAGCGGCAAGAGAGACACGACCAAAAGGTGGGCTCTGAAAGAATCTTCTCCCTTTTGCCTCAAAGATTCACAGTCCCAGCAACTCCCTGCCCTCTGAACACGGGAAGTGCGAGTCTGTAAGGCATGCAGCCCAGGAATGAAGAACGGGAGCTGTGGAGTCCTGAGACAGTGCCTTAGCTTCTCTATGCCTCAGTTTCCTCATCTGAGAATGGGGTTGATGGTGACAACCAAGCACGAAGGTGGCCATAAAAAGGAGTCATGCACAGAGTCTAGCCCAGAGTCTGGCACATGGCATTTAACATTATCATTACTGCACTACTTTACACAGAATTCACATAGAACTGTGTCCAAAACCATCCTAGTCAATGCTCCCAGTCTCTTGCAATTTGGCGGCACTGAGCTGGTATACCAAGCCACTCTAAAGTGGAGCATGTGTCAATGGTTACAGGGACACTACAATGACTTCCATTTGAACTGACTTCCTCTAGATGCATGCCATTTTGATGCTTAACAGGGCATTGTGAAGACTCTGTATACAAGGTACCTGCTCTCCTGGACACTGACCACATATTCTCCTATCAACCCACACTGACATCGGGATTCTAAAGCCACGGACGGGAGAGTGAGAACCGCAGCCCTTACCTGAGGGAGGCCAGCTCCCACCACGGCTCCACTGTGGATCATGGGGCCTTCTTTCCCCACAAAGAGCCCTGGGACAGGGGCAAAGGGAAAAGACCACCAGTCAGCTCAGGAAGGCCTCCGGATCAGAGAAACCCTTCTCTTGAGATTATAAAACAGAGACCATACAACTTTATAAGAGAAATAGTGAGCCAAATTCCCATCAAACAAGTTCATTTAAATCTTGCTATAAAAGAAAATATAGCCTTCAACTCCAAAGCAAGAGTTAGCACACTAAAACTGGTGGGCCCAGCAGCCAATTTCTTTCCCTACAGCCCAAGAGCTAAGTATACATTCTTAAATGGATACATTTTAAATGGTTATATTGTTGTTGTTGATAGGTGCCTTCCAGTAGGACTCACAGGACTCTATGTACAACAGAATAAAACACTGCCGATTTTGCTTCTTGGGCCACAAAGCCTAAAGTATTTACTATTTGGCTATTTACAGAAAAAGCTTGCTGATCCCTTCTCTAAACGCACGGAAGTTGTGTTAGACAATTCTATAAAGGAACCAGTCAGTCAGTCTACTTCACAACAGAATAGTGTGCCTGTCAAAAGATCTGTGAATCCCACATTAACAGAGTTTGCATTTGCAAAAATAACCCCACAACAAAACGTGCAAGCCCTTCCATTCAAATCGAGTTAATTTACATATGCGATGCTTCTTTCTTTCTTCTTGAATACTTTAAAGACAAACATCAGAAAGCCCCTCCATACCTCCAGCCACACTGAAGAGCACTCCAAAAGCTTTGCAGAGCAGGGTCCGGAGACGGACAATTCCTGGCACCTTCACGCCATTCAGGTAGCATTTGATCTCAGGTATTCCCGAACCTGCTGCCACTGGCTGATGGGGAGAGCAAGCACACCCGAAACTCAGCATCCACCAGCTCTCCCGCTCACCGTGGACAATCTTAGCTACTGGAGGGGAAGCGGTGGTTCTCATGTTCTAGCAAAACTGACGAGCAGCAGCGTCTCCTGGGGGGCTTATTAAACCACTGGCTGCCGAGCCCCACCCCCAGCGTTCCTGAGGTAGAACACATGTACATCTCTAATCCGTCCCAGCATCACCCGGCAGCTTTTCAAGCATCAGTGCTGGCACCGACGCCCAGAGATTCTGATCTAAGTGGTTGGAGCTGGGGCCCATGCACTGGTATTTTTAATATTGATTTAAGGTTGAGAACCACCATCCTAATCTAGATTTTCCTTCCTAACGAACCTCAACGGAGGCTGAAAACTTTACTTTCGGAAACATCTCTAAGTGAACAGGAGGCCATTTTCTGAAGGAATCCATCTTCTAAATTTAACTCAGCTTCCTGGCCTTCCGGAAATGAAGATGGAGGACAGCATGCAAGGATCCAAAACCCCTTAAGCAAACAAATCACTCACCTCAATTAGGACAAGAAGGCTGCCCAGGAAGACAAAGGTCAGGTTAAAACCCAAGAGTTCAAGGAGTGACAGGGCGAGGCAGCCTTTCTTGCTGCATTCTTCCACCGCTGCAGAAGCCAGGCTAAGGAGAATGTATGCACCAACCAAGGGCACAGTCACTTGAAAAATGGCATAGCTTCTCCTCTTCTAGAACCTGTTGGCTATTTCCTACACACCTTCCTGCCCTCTCTCTCAATATAAAACAACCAAAACCAAACCCACTGCCATCGAGTCAATTCTGTCTCATAGCAACCCCCACTGGGTTTCGGAGGCAATAAATCTTTATTGAAGTAGATTGCCCAGTCTTCCTTCTGCAGAGTGGCTGGTGGGTTTGAACCACCAACCTTCTGGTTAGCAGTCAAATGCCATAGGCACTATGCCACCAAAGCTCCTCTCTCAACATGTGTATGTATATATACATTATCTGAGATGTCTTCTACATTAGGGACCACTTTTAAATTATGAAATACTTGAAACATTACAAAAAGAAATAAATACCCATATCTCTACAATCCCAGCTTTAACAAATCTCAACATTCTGCCATATTTGCTTCAATTTTTTTAAAAAAATATCAAATACTATAAAAACAAACAAAACAAGCTCCTTGTTTCCTTTCTTCTCTTTCCTGAGAGCAGCTACTAACCAGAAATGATTGTGTCCTTCCCTATGTATTTTCATAGGTATCCATACTGTTCTGTTTTTACAATGAAAATAAATGGTATTATTCCTTACGTACATTCTACAACTTCCTTTTTTCCCACTTTCAATATAAAGTTTTTCAGAATTAGTCATGTTGATACATCCGCTCTGGCTCATTAACTTAAACTTCTGTATAAAATTAGACTGTGTGAACATACTATAATTTTTCCAGGCTCCCATTTGGTTTGATCCCAACTATTTACCATCACAAAGCGACAGTGAACACCTCTGGCGGCTCCAAGGTATGTATGCAGAAGGGGAGTTCGGGAGTGATAGGAGCATACCCCTTCCCATCTGTTTCACTTCCATCTCCTGCATTATGGGGAGGCAAGCACCTTTCCAGGGGTTTACTGACCAGTTTTCCTCTTCTGAAAATTGCCTGTTCGCTACCTTGGTTCACTGTTCTATTCGGCTGTTTGTTTTTTCCCTTACTGAGTTGCAGGAATTCTTTCTATGCTCTGAATACCAATTATTGGTCTCTCATATGCACAGCAAATAATAAGTAAGTCCAGGTTATGGGCTTCTCACTTTGTTTAGAGTGTTTTATTGTTGTTGTTTTTAGGATTTTCTTTTGTTGTTATGAACAGAGTATTTATTATAATGTGGTCAAGTTTATCAAGCCTTTTCTTTATCATTTCTGTCTTGTGGTGTTTTGTTTAAGAAACGACTCATACTCTCGCCATGATATCTAAACACACTGCCACCATGTCGACACTGACCTGGCAGGACAGAACAGAACTGCCCCTAGAGTTTCCAAGGCTAAAAATCTCGACGGAGGCCATTTACCACATCTTTCTCCTGCAGAGCTGGAAGTGGCTTCAGATCGCTGACCTTTCGGTTGGCAGCCAAGTGCTTTAACTCGTGTGACCCTGTCATTATATAATCTCTTTAAAATTGTGTTCTGCCTATTTACGTCGTCGATCTATCTAGAAATTATCTTTATTTATAGTACAGAGAAGGAATCCACTTACGTATTTTTCTAGATGGATAACCAAATGTTCTGGTATCTTTTACTGAATATTCTGTCCCTTCCTCACTGATTTATAACACTAACTCTGTCATTCACCAAACGTCTATGTCTGTATGGGCCAGTCTCTGCTTCTCTATTTTTTCACTGTTATGATTGGGTATTCCTGTTTCAAATATTGGATTTCAAATTTTGTAAGTCTTGACATCTAGTAGGGCAAGTCCCCTGCCTATTGTTTAAACCGTTTGGACTACTTTTGGCCCTTTACTCTTCCATACAAATTTTGAAAGACGAAGGTGCCTGACCAACCCATGGCCTTTTTGATCACCTTATATGCATGTGAAAGCTGGACAATGAATAAGGAAGCCTGGAGAAGAATTGATGTCTTTGAATTACAGTGTTGGCAAAGAATACAGAATAAACCATGGACTGCGGGAAGAACAAACAAATCTATCCTGGAAGTACAGTCAGAATGCTCCTTAGAGGCTAGGATGGCCAAGCTTTGTCTTATACTTTGTTCATGTTATCAGGAGGGACCAGCCCTTGGAGAAGGATATCATGCTTGGTAAAGTAGAGGGTCAGCGAAAAAGGGGAAGACCCTCAATGAGATGGATTGACAACAATGACTGCAACAATGTGCTCTACTACAGCAATGATGTGAGGATGGTGCAGGACTGGGCAGTGTTTCATTCTGTTGCACCGGTCACTAGGAGTCAAAACTTACTCGATGGCACCTAACAACAACAATGTGATAAATTCTATTGTTATTATTATTATTATTTTGTAGGAACTACACTGAATTTATAGATTGATTGTGGAGAATAGGCGTCTTTATGATACTTATGTCTTGTCAACCATGTACCTGAGTGTAACTCGCTATATTAAGGTCTTCCTTTTGTGTCCTCTAATGATAATTAAAAACCATAAAGCTGAGTGGCTAATAAAAAACAGCTCTTCAAAGACCATGTTTACTGTGAAAGTCATTTCTAGAACAACAAAGCAATATCAGCTATCACTGAAGTTCAATACCAGGAACCATGAGAAGGATACACGTCTGCACCACTCCAAACTTGAGCTGGGTGAAGAGCCGCACAAAAAAGTCCACAAAGAGACCCACCTGTGAAGAACAAGAGCTCTATCAGACAGACTCACTCTTAGGGGCATGACAGGCATCTCTCCTGAAAGGACCTGCTGTACCACTGCAGTGACAATGGCTCGTCAAGGGCACCAGGTTACCAGCCAGCAATGCATAAGTGAACTTTCTTTAGTCACTCTGCCTTCTGAGGCACTCCCTGCTCCAGCCTGGTCCCACCACCCTCCAAAGAACAATGGAAGGCAGTACAGCTAAGGAGAGAATGAAGCAAAGGAAAGCAAAGAGGGAAGGGATGTGAGACCAAGGAAGACCGTCCGATGATCAAAGAGGACTAACACTGAATTGAGTGAATAACTGCTAAACTCCTCCTGAAGGCACTTTCAGAGAGAGAATTCTAAAGATGTCTTCAGTGATACTACACTGGATAAGCACACAAAACCAAAACCAAACCCCTTCCCATGGAGTTGATTCTAATTTACAGCAGCCCTACATGTAGGACAGAGTAGAAATGCCTCACAGGGTTTTCAAGGCTGTAATCCTTAAGAGGCAGACTGCCACATCTTTCGCCCCCACAGCAGCTAACCTTTCAGTTAGGAGCCAAGAGTTTAACACTTGGATGTGTATGTATATCAGGAAATGATCTTGAAAGACAATATTCCTGCAGGGGTATATGGTTTTTGCATGTTTGCTGTTACTATTTTATAATCCTATTTTGACTTATACTGGCAGGTAAGAAAAACCACCAGGGCCCCACTATTCTACTCTAAAACTACGCTCAGAGTTTCAAGAATTGGAAAGACTTCTGACTCTATGGATTCAGGATCAGAGGCTTCATGCCTTTTACTCTGAACCCTCCTCAATCCAAAACCCAGAGACTTTTTAATACTGAATAAGTGATGACAAATCAGAAGAAAAGCGAGTCAACAGAGCAAGCAGAGCTGGCTGCTATATATGAGGGCCTTTGTATTACATGTGAGCACAAAGTAAAGTTGCTAGTGTTGATCAATGGCAGCTTGAAGGAGTTTGATATGAAAGAAGCAGAATGACTAATAACTAGATAGCTAATGACTATGGTTATTATAGAGAAAACTGCAGCCAGAAGTATATAAAGCAAAAGAGACACCCTGAATCATTAAAAAAAAAAGGACCAGGTTTGCTGGTCTGATAGAGCCTGAAGGGGCCCTAGTTGCCCTTCAGGTCTGGAATTGAACCCACTCCTGTTGGCTTCCAGCCAAACAAAAGACAGGCATATGAGCTGAACATTTACATTAGGTAGATACACTTCTTGGAGAGATCAATTATAGGAGAATAAAAGGGCTATGCATGCACAGGGAGATAGCTCAGGTGCCACGAGTGAATGGGAGGGAAGGACACAGGGAAGAGGTAATTATGGGGAGGAAATGGGAGGGGAGCTGTTGCATCATGGGAAATTCAGTCAATGTCATAAGACAATGTGTACGTAAACTGCTATATGGAAAGTGAATTTGCTCTGTAAACTTTCACCCAAATCACAATAAAATAAAAAAAAGAGAGACGCTCTGAGATTTCAATAAAACAATTAAATTAACTCAAGTTCCCTTCATAGTGGTGTCCCTCAGAATGCTACTACCACAGAGGCCTTCTGAATGCCATTAGCCTTACCTAGTAAGATGTTCCTTTACCTCTGGACCTATTACAGTAAAAATTTAGTAAGTGCTTTGGGCAATCTACTTCCATAAAGATTTACTGCCTCACCCAAAGGGAGTCGCTATGAGTCAGAACTGACTGGCTGGCAGTGAGGTTTTTTTTTTTTTTTTATGAAAATAAAAATTGTAGTTGGCCCTTGTGACATCACGTTAAACACATGGTTACATTTTACAAGTGTACCATGTAGAGTGAAATAGACATACCTTGGAGATATTGCAAGTTCAGTTCCAGATCACTGCAATAAAGTGAATATCGCAATAAACTGAATCACGTGAATTTTTTGGCTTCCCAGTGCATATAAAAGTTATGCTTATGCTATACTGTACTCTATTAAGTGTGTAAGAGCATTATAAAAAAGTCTGAAATAACTGTGGGAATTACCAACATGTGATAGAGACACAAAGTGAGCACATGTTGTTATAAAAACAGCACCGACAGACTTGCTTGACACAGGGTTGCCACAAACCTTCAATGTGTAAAAAATGCAGTAACTACGAAGTGCAATGAAACAAAGCTCAATTAAACGAGGTATGCCTGTATGGGGCTTTTGGTCAATCCCAGAGGAAGGTGGCAGGCAGGAATAAATAGGAATTTCTAGAACTCTCTATTCTAACACTGGAGGCCCTGGGGGATGCAAACGGTTAATGAGCTTGGCTGCTAGCTGAAAGGCTGGAGGTTTGAGACCACCTAAAGGTGCCCAAGGAGGGGTCGCTATGAGTCGGGGCCGACTCGAAGGCACATAACAACAACAACAACAACAAAGGTGCCTTGGGAGAAAGTCTTGGCATTCTATTTCTGAAAAACTGGCCACTGAAAACCCTTCAAAGCACAATTCTACTCTGATACAGGTGGGGTTGCCATGAGTCAAAGCTGACTTGGCCGCAACTGGCTGACTGTTCTAACACTGCATGGGCAAAGAATCAGATTTGCCATGTCTCACTGTGACTGACTACTAAATTTTCCAGCTTCTCTTCCCCAGGCTGAAACAATGCTAAGTCAGCAGTTGGCATTCGAGAACGTCTACTACAATCTTTAGCAACGCTTCACATTCTCCTTCATCTGTGCTTCATCTGTGAACTTGCGGAGCCCAGGAGTGCCACTGTTCATTCAGGCCTATTCCTCCACCAATAGTGCCAGCTCTATCTTCTGGACAAAACGAGCAATGTCCGGGGAGGAAGCCCAGGACAGTGTAACGAGTTCACTGAGACCCATGGTGTCCTGTCCTGGTTACTGACACATTATGCTAAAGGGAAGGGCATGTTGTTCAAAATTTTGTTCTCACTACTTTGCTTCTTCTTGATGGAGTGACCACAACATCACTATGTACTGTGGTATCTATCTGGTAGGAATATTATTATATCGTAGGAATCAGTCTTAACCAAACCTTTGAGTATCTAAAGAGCCCCACAGCTGTATGGCTCATTTTCAATTCACAGGGCAAATGCTACAGAAGTATGAAAAACTCTGTCAGGATTACTAACACAAAAAAAGGGGTTCGGGGAAGAAAAGACAGTCTTTGTCATAATGACAAATGGCTTATCGGTCAGACTAGGGTTTGCCCTTTTGATCCCACTCCCACCCCTCTGGCCCACCGCCTCATCACACCCCATCTGCTCACCAGCCCAGTGCAGACTCCAATGGCAAACACTACCATCCACTTCACTGCCTCATACCTTCGACCTTTCTGTTGACATAGGAAAAGAAAGACTCAGTTTAACACAGTTCTGATGGCAGAGGGGAAGGAATACATCTTGATCAGGCTAAATTCCACATGGTCAACAGGCATGGTGAAGATGAAGTGTGGATCATGGGTTCTTTACAACATAAGAGTGATATGTCAGGCAGGATTACTAAGGGGCTGGACCAGGTTCACTGACAGCTGGTACTCTGGTTGGTAGGAGGAAGATCTAGGGAGTTCATGCTGATATCTCATAAAAGGTACTAAAAGGTCAAGGGTAAGGATCTTTACCAGAGCATTTAGAATAGAAAAAGAAATTTGTCTAAGATCTGCTTACTCCCGAGAGACCAACAACTGTGGGACTCACCTTATTGTCCATGGTCTCCAAAACTTCCAGGTAAGGGTCATTGATACAGCGATCATAATCCAAGCTCTGAAAAATGGACATGCAAGTTTAAAAAAAAAAAAAAAAATCCACTGCCAGGTAGGAAGAATTACCTGCAAAGGGACAAAATGTAGATTCCTGCTACTTGAAGTGCGGCTGGGCATCACCAGGAGGAGCTAGTTTGAAATGTAGATTTCTAGGCGTCCCTGGCCCTACAAGCATCAGAACTACACTTTAACAAGATCCCCAAGTAACTCACATGTCCATTAAAATTTGGAAGTGCTGTGTCAATACTTCTTGTTTTAGAAAAAAAGTTCCAAATTAGCAAATTTTTAACTTCCTATTTCTGTAAAACACTTACAGACCATCATCTATCACCAGCCTTACCCTAATCATTCCTTTATTCGATGTGAACAAAAGCTTCAATTAATCAGAACCAAATCTATTTTAGAAGTAAATTAATTACAATGATTTGTGTAGTCAGCTTCCATGAACAAGAGGTTAGTCGCAAGACAAACTGATCTGGAGGCTGCTTTAAAAAACACCTTCCAGTCATGGCAGCAAGACGCACAGGTTCAGCCCAGGTCCTATAACTTCTACATCTAAAGCAACGTTCCTTCAGCCATGCTTCAGACGCATAGTCTGCACACAATCTGCACAGGAGCCACACACATTTAGAGAAATGATTCAAATGAAATAATTTCATTTCTATGTCTTGTGCGGGAGCTCTGGCAGGTGACTGCTAACCAGAAGGTTAGCGGTTCAAACCCACCAGCCACTCCTTGGAAGGAAGCCTGGGCAATCTATTTTCTTAGAGATACAGCTGTGGAAACCCAAGGAAGGGTTGCTATGAGTCTGGATTGAGTCGATGGCAGAGAGGTGTTTTTTTTTTTTTTGTATGTCTTGTGTGAGATGCTACAGTCTGGCAGCAAAGAAAAACGGACTATCATGATGCTCTCTCCTGCAACCTGCCCCTACCTACATGTCAGCTAAAGAATAAGCTGGACACTGGCCTGGTGGGCACCCCTCAGGCAGGAACTTAAAAGTCTGATCAGGTGTGATATGTGATACCTGGTTCCACTGCCGTGACTATCCCAAGTCAAAATTCCTTTTTTAAAAAAGTCCTGGAGTATCAACAGGGAACTGGATAAATTATCAGATATCCAAAAATGGAATACAATGTTGCAATAAAATAAGTATGGTACATCTATGGACAGATGAGGAAAATGTCCGAAAATAATAAAGTAAAAAAGATGCAGAATGAAATGTGTAATATGACTCCACTGTGAATAATCAAAACTAGTAATATGCATGTATTATAAGGCACAAACATCTGAGAAGACTGACCATGGTTATTTCTGAGGTGGCGTTTTAGGAAGTGTGCACATCTGTGTATTATTTGAAATTTTCAAAGTGAACATGGTACACTTACATGTTTTTAAAAAATTATCTTTATTTTCTTCTGATTATAAAACAAAAAACCACAGGAAATAATACTTCTGCTGGAAAAATAGATTCATCTATGAGTGATTAAACCAACATGTTTCTAAAGCAACAAAGTGACATCACATTAGAAACAGAGAAAGAGCAGAAGGCTGAAAAATATGATATCCTTCATACCAAATATGTTTAGAGACGACTGGCTAATTAGTTATTTGCTTGATGGCTTTTGTGTAATAATGCCATGTCTTCATAAATACTTGAAAGATATTTAGATGTCCAAAATAGGCAAATATGGCCCTTCTAGCCCTAGTCCTACATTTTGTGATATATTATAAATTATACATATTAATATATTTAATTAATATATTATAAATCCTAGCCTCTCTGTTTGTTGTTGTTATGTGCCGTCAAGTTGGACCCAACTCATAACGACCCCTCCTTGGGTTTCTGAGACAGTATCACTACGGAACTAGATTGCTCCATCTTCCTTCCGAGGAGTGGCTGGTGGGTTTGAACCTCCAGCCTTATAGTTAGCAGTCAAGTGCCTTAGGCACTACACTACCAGAGCCTCTCTGTTTAGGGTGGGATATATCTTGAGTTCCGCCTTGCTGGGGGGTGTGACTCAAGTCATCACCCTCAGTTTCTTTGAGAGCATATATGTGAATGTTGTGGCAAAGTCTGCTGTCTCTTACTCCAGATCCGGCATCTGGTTCCTCAACGTCTCACTCCTGGACTTGAGGTAGCAGCCTGACCTGCCAATTTGGGTTTGCTAACCTCACAAGCACATGAGTGAGGAGAATCCTCCAGATTGATGGCTGACCTATGGATTTGGGACTTGCCCGCCTCCACCACTACATGGACCATTTCCTTGGTAGCTTGTGAGTTCTATGAGCCATTAACAGTGAAATATGGACCCTAAGATGGGAGGCTCCAGGAACTGATGGGATACCCATTGAAATTTTTCAACAAATGGATGCTGCGCTGGAGGTACTTACTCGTCTATGCCAAGAAATTAGGAAGACAGCTACCTGGCCAACTGACTGGAAGAGATCCTATTTGTACACATTCCAAAGAAAGGTGATCCCACAGAATGTGCAAATTATTGCACAATATCATTAATATCACATGCAAGTAAAATTTTGCTGAAAATAATTAAAAAATGGTTGCAGCAATATATTGACAGGGAACTTCCAGTAATGCAAGCTGGATTTATAAGAGGATGTGGAACGAGGGATATCATTGCTGACGTTAGATGGATGTTGGCTGAAAGCTAAGAATACCAGAAAGATGTTTACTTGTATTTACTGACTATGCAAAGGCATTCAGCTGTGTAGATCATAACAAATTATACATAACAATGAAAAGAATGGCAATTCCAGAACACTTAATTGTGCTCATGAGGAAACTGTACCTAGACCAGGAGGCTGTTGTTTGAACAGAACAAGTGAATATTGCATGGTTTAAAAACAGGAAGGGAGTGCATCAGGGTTATATCCTTTCACAATACTTATTCAATTCTTATGCTGAGTAAATAATCTGAGAAGATCGAACTACATGAAGAAGAATGCAGCATCAGGGTTGGAGGAAGAATCATTAACAACCTATGATATACAGATGACACAACCCTGCTTGCTGAAAGTGAAGATGACTTGAAGCACTTACTGATGAAGATAAAGACTATAGTCTGCAATATGGATTACACCTCAACATAAAGAAAACGAAAATCCTCACAACTGGACCAATAAGCAGCATCACAATAAATGGAGAGAAGATTGAAGTTGTCAAAGATTTCATATTACTTGGTTCCATAACCAACATCAAGGGAAGCAGCAGTCAAGACATCAGATGACGACGTATGCAATGGGCAAATCTGGTGTAAAAGACCTCTTTCAAGTGCTGAAGAGCAAGGATGTCACTTTGAAGACTAAGGCATGCCTAACCCAAACCATAGAAGCTCTGGTAGCATAGCGCCTAAGGCACTTGACTGCTAACCAGAAGGCTGGCGGTTCAAACCCACCAGCCACTCCTTGGAAGGAAGGCTGGACAATCGACTTCCATAGTGATACCACCTCAGAAACCCAAGAAGGGGTCGTTATGAGTCGGGTCCGACTCAATGGCACATAACAACAATAACCCAAACCACAGTATTTTCAATTGCCTCATATGCATGTGAAAGCTGGACAATGAATAAGAAAGACTGAAAAAGAGTTGATGCTTTTGAGTTGTGGTGTTGGTGAAGAATACTCAAAGTACCATGTACTACCAGAAGAACTAACAAATCTGTCCTGGAAGAAGTGCAGCCAGAATGTTCCCTGGAAGGGAGAATGGCCAGACTTCATCTCACCTACTTTGGTCATATTTTGGTCAGAAGAGACCATTCCCTGGAGAAGAATATCATGCTTGGTAAAGTGGAAGGTAAGCGAAAAAGGTGAAGGTCCTCAACAAGATGAATTGACACAGTGGCTGCAATGATGGGCTCAGGTATAGCAAGGATTGTGAGGCTGGCACAGGACCAGGCAGTGTTTTGTTCTGTTGTACACAGGGTCACTATGAGTCAGAGCTGACTCAATGGCCCCTAACAACAACAACAACAAGATGGGAGGGAGAGTACTGAGGGGAGGAGGAAGAGTTGATGTCAGATGATGGAGCTGTTCAAGGTCATATTCAAAGTCATATTTTGGCTCCTGTGGACTTGTTTTAATTGTCTTCAACTTCAAATTGAACTTGCATATGAGCAGTTGATGGTCTGTTCCACAATCAGCTCCTGGCCTTGTTTTGAGTTTTTCCATCGCCTCTTGCCACAGATAGGGTAAATCTGATTCCTGTGTACTCCATCTGGTGAAGTCCACGTGTATAGCTGTGAATTGGGCGAATTCATTCACCAATTCATTCATTCAATTGGGTGAACTGTATGTTGTTAGGAGAGGAGCCCTGGTTGGTACAGTTGTTAAAGTGCTCGGATGTTAATCAAAATGGTGGTGGTTCAAACTCACCAGCTGCTCTGTAGGAGAAAGATGTGACAGTCTGCTTCTGTAAAGATTTACAGCTGTGGGAACTCTATGGGGCAGTTCTACCCTGTCCTACAGGGTTGGTATTAGTTGGAATCGACTCCACTGCAGTAAGTTTGAGGTTTTTTCACTTATTGCTGTTAGAGGCTATTGAGTCAGTTTTTGTTTCATAGCAACCCCATGGGACAGAGCAGAACTGCCCCAGAGGGTTTTCTAGACTGTCATATGTATAAGATCACAACATCAGGTCTTTCTCCCGCACAACTGCTGGGTGAGGTAAAACTGCCAAGCTCCTGGTTAGCAGTCATATGCTTAACCCCTGCACCACCAGGCTCCTTCATAGTACACAATATTGGGGGGGGGGGATTAGAAATAACAATAAGACTTGAACATCAAACTTTTCTTTCTTAAATAGAGTTTGACACTATAAATATATACCAATGGAATATGTATCTGTATTAAAATCAGGTACTGTAATAGTCGGTCTTGGGTAGAATAGGAGGAAAATGTGGAACAAAACTCAAAATCATAAAAAAAAAAAAAGACCAGCCTTACAGGTCTGATAGACCAGTAGAACCCCAAGACTATGGCCCTTAGTCACCATTCAAGCCGGGAAATGATTTTACCCATGTGGCTCAACTTTCACCCAAATGTGAGACAGACCTATATGGTAAACAATAATACCAGGGAGGTATGCACTCCTTAGGATAGCGAAACATACGAGATCAAAAGAGCAGTGTTTGCCCAGGGATAAAGCTCAGAGGCTGACGAGGGAGGAGAGAAGGACAAACGGAGACAGTAAACACAGGGTGGAAGTGGGAAGAGAGCAGTTACATTGTGGGGATTGCACTTGATGGGACAATACAAAATGTGTATAAATTGCTGAACGGAAAACCAATTTGCTCTGTAAACTTTCGTGCAAGTCACAATAAAAAGTTAAAAAAATCAGGTACTGTTACTTCTTTGCCACCACTAACTAATCATCTCTCTTTATTTCAGTTGTACATGTTGTTCCTGGTTTGGTGCACTAACAACTTTTTTCTTCCAGTAAAATGTTTATAGGCGTCCTGCAGGGATGCTGCACTTACTTAAAAGGTACCTGGCCCTAGGGGCAAGTAGGGTGGGAATGCAGCCCAAACTTAGTCTGGAGGGGACACCTTGATCCTCACAGGAAAAGCACCTTCAACTGATCCCGAGTTGGAGGTGTTGCTATGGCCCAAAAAGAGACAATGCCTTTTATTTTAATTCCTCTGCTCTTAGAGGGGTGCCTTTTTCTAACTCAATGGAGCAGCACTGGCTCTGTGATCTAAACAGAACATTATTGTGAGTGTGTCACCATCCCACAGTTAAAAAGTAACTGTTCCTCAAACCACTAGAAATCAGAAGATACACCATTGGATAAAGTGCTTTTTGATTCATTAAAAGCAATCCCAGTAAAATAAATTATAAAAAGTGAAAAGGAGAAAAAAAAAAAAAAAAGCAGTTGCATCAGAGAAAAGTATTAAACAATACCATGGTAGTACAACTGGTGAAATTTAGACTGTAGAAAATTCCAGAGTCTGGTGGCACAGTGGTTAAGCACTTGGCTACTAACTGAAAGGTCAGCAGTTCAAACCCACCAGCCACTCCATGGGAGAAAGATGTGGCAGTTTGCTTCCTATAGGGTTGCTATGAGTTGGAATTTGACTTGACAGCAATAGGGTTGGTTTCTTGGTTTTAACATGTCATTAAATAAATTGCAAGGAAAAGAAAAAAAGATAAAAGAGGGAACCTATATAATAAAAGAGATTCAAAAGACATATTAAACAACTGCGATGGGAGGATCTACTTTGGAATCTGATTCAAACAAATGAACTAAAAACAATACATACAATAAATAAAACAACTGGAAAGTCTGAACACCAGATATTTGTTGATATCGAGGACTTGTTAATTTCTTTAGGTGTGATACTTGTATTAGTTTATGTTACAATAAAGTCTGCACCTGTCTTAGGCTGGGTTCTCTAGAGAAGCAACAGTGAAGCAAGTACCTCATAACTGCTACACCACTCAGAATCATGGCCCAGCCAAGCTGACACATACCCTTAACTATCACAGCAGCCTTCTGAGATACACACTGAATTATCTATAGGGGAAATGATGTAATGTATTGAATTTCCTTCAAAATCATATGGAAAAAAGTGGATAGGGCATAGATGTCACAAGATTGAGCATGAGTTGAATAGCTGTTGAAGTTGGATGATGAGTACAGGAGACTTTGATACACTAATTCTATCTACTTTTATGTATGTTTGAAATTCTCCATAGTAAAAGTTAAAAAAAAAAAAAAAGTTCCACGCTACATTACAAATCCTCCAACTCAAGGCAAACTTACGTGTCATAGAACAAAATGTTACCTTGTCCTACAGCATCTTTAGGATTGTTGGTATGCTTGAGCCTACTACAAATCCTAATACCAAACCCAACCCACTGCCACTGAGTCAATTCCAATTCATAGTGACCCTACAGGAGAGAGTAGAACTGCCCCATAGAGTTCCCAAGGGTGTAAATCTGTACAGAAGCAGACTGTCTCATCTGTCTCCCATGGAGCAGCTAGTAGGTTCAAACCACTAACCTTCTGGTTTGCAACCGAATGCCTTAACCACTATACCACCAAAGCTCCTTACAAATCCTAATAAACCAAAACCAAACTCACTGCCATCAAGTAGATTCTGACTCATAGCGATCCCCATTGGGTTTCGGAGGCAGCAAATCTTTATGGAAGGAGACTGCCCCACCTTCCTTCCATGGAGTCGCTAGTGGGTTTGCCTTCTGGTTAGCAAGCAAATGCCATAGGCACTGTGCCACTAGAGGTCCTTACAAATTCTAATAGTTACATTAAATTCCATAGCAAAAGAAAGATGGAAAATTAAAATGAAAGTCTGGATATATTATGCCCAGTATCCAGGATTTTTAATGATGTTAAAAAAAAAAAGCATAAAACATATACATGACTAACTTCACTTCTTGGAATTAATCCTAAGGAAGCAGTGAAGGAAAAACAAGCAATGCTGCTCACCACTATAAAGATCATTATATAAAAAAGTTAGAATCAACTGAAGATGGATTAAACTGAACATAGTACAATAAAATTGTTGTTGTTGTTACGTGCCCTCGAGTTGGACCCAACTCATAGCAACCTCTCCTTGGGTTTCTAAGGCAGTATCACTACGAAAGTAGATTGCCCCATCTTCCTTCCGAGGAGTGGCTGGTGGGTTTGAACTGCCAGCCTACTGGTTAGCAGTCAAGTGCCTTAGGCACTACTATGCTACCAGAGCTCCCACAATAAAATTATTCACCTATTTAAAAAGATATTGTAGAAAAGTACCTAGTGATACAACAATATTATCAAGTGGTAGGGTAAAAACAGAATAAAGTATTTATTAAAATCTCACTTTTGTTACTGAAAAAAAGCAAAAAGTCATGTATGTCAGCCTGGAAAAGGACCTAAAAAGGCATTTAGCAAGGTTTTAATAGTAGCCATCTTTCAATGAATGGGATTTTACGTTTTTCACTAGTTTCTTCTTTTTGTAAATAGTTTGTAAGAATTCTCTGCAATAACCATGGCTTGCTTTTCTAATGTTAAAAATCACAGAAAAAAAAAATCATCATGAACTGCTTGAATGATAAAATGTCACACAATGTCAAGCTTTACTTTAGTAGCACTGGTCTTACTAAAAACATACATTCTAAGAGTCTGTGGTAGTTATCTTTGTGTGTCAACTTGGCTGGGCCTGGTTGAGTGGCTGGGCAGCTGGTGGTAGTTAATCCCCATGATGAGACTGGCAATCAGCTCCATGGTGGGATCTACCACAAGTAGCTGAGTAGCTGCCTTTGGGAATGTGGTCTGCTTCCTGTATTTAAGGAGAAGTCTTGGGAATGGTCTCTAGCCTATGGCACACTTGGACCCTGCATGTAGCCGTGTCATTGCTCAGCAGCCTGCTATGCCCTGCCGACCTTGGGACTTAAAATGGACTTAAGTTAATGGCCTGCAGTGTAGTTTGGTAACATCGGAACTGTGCCTTTTTCCTCGTCAACCTTGAGGTTTCTCAGCCTCAGCAGCCAGCAGCTGTCTGAATGAAGAAACGCCTCTAGCTTCAGTGGGCTGGGAACCGGAGGCAGTGCTGGACCCCAAGGTTGAGGGGCTTTCACCCAGCCCCTAGAGCCTGGCACTCTGAACTTGGACTTAAAGCCTCCAAATTGTAAGAATAAACTCCTATTTGTCAAGGCCATCCCATTTGTGGTATATTCTTGTCAGAGCGGCACTTAGGTAACCAGAACAGAGTCCCATACTTGAAATTGGGAACTACAAACCAGAGTATTTCAGAAAGAAGTTGCTAGGACAGGAAACAATCATCTAAAATTAAGTTCTCTCAGAAGAGAAACAAGGCTTCCTGGCCGCAAACCTGTTATGAGCACACAGTGCAGGTTGCTTTGATTCTGAGTCTCTGCAAGTCTTAAAATCCAAACAGCTTAATGGCGAATACATACTCTATCTAGACTAGGGTATTATAGATCTATGAAAGCATGAGGCTACTCAAATCTTGTTTTGGGGTCACTTTTTACTGACTCCCCGGAATAGCAGGTGATCAAATAGCATCTTTGTTTGGAACTCTACTGCTTTGGTCTGAAGTGACCAGGCCAGTCAGGACTTTAGTTACCCAAGAAAGCAGTGAAGAATCTCACCTCATAGTCTTTCCTTGGAAGGATCTCATCCTCCTCTTCTTGTGTTTCTCCTAGGATGGTCTAGAAAAACAAACCCACAGAAGGGAGACCCTTTGAATTACTGAAAGTGGGAGGAGGCAGAAGTATTTACACAAACCAGTTGCTAGATTCTAAATCATGAGCAGACATTATCATCAAATGGGAGTAAGACCTCAAAAAACAAACAAAAAACCTTTTGAGGTGGAGGGTGATGTTGGGTAAGGATTGACAGTCATCCAGCTGAATTCTTTATTTCTATCAATACAACCTCCAAATAACCACCCTTGCCTTCATGACACTTGAAAGGTGTCCAATGCTAACTTAAGGAAGAAAAAAAAAAAAAAAATGCAGGCTCCAACCTGAAAATGTGTTGAATCTGAAATCAAAAGGGAGCTGTCAACTGTTGGGACCTAATAACTCAAGTTTTCCCAGTATGCTTTGCAGAGAGGAAGCTGAGTTGTCAGTGACCCAGAAAGGGTGAGGGTCAGAGCTAGCTCTAGAAGGAAAAACTAAACCAGCTGCATAAACACAAAGTCCCGTGTAGGGGCTTATTCTGAAAATGCTTGTTTCATTCAAAAGTCTTTTCAGATGGAAATAAAAGAAAATACGGGTGGGGTTAATTGGAGCTGGTCTGGGATCTCTCTCAGATTCCAAGGTAAAATTATGAAAAAACACCCCAGACTTGGGTACGCGCTCGTGAAGAGGAGCAGATGTTTCCAGAGCCTAAGCTGCAGTCCCCAGGCCCCACCGGCTGCCACCTGCGGGCCTTCTTCCGCCCGGCCCCACCCCCGGCAACGCCTCCCGCTGTCCCTTAGCAACCACCCACTCCCCAACCACGCCCCGCACGCTCCCTACCAGTTCCTCCGGAGTGCGGGTCTCACGCTCACCGCAGCAGCAGCACCACCTGCAGCAGCAGCATAGAGACCCCCTGCACCCCGCCATCTTCCTCCTTTACTGACACGCCGGACCCCTTCGCCACCCCCTCCCACCTAGATCCGCGCCTCACGTGACTGGCTCTGGGGCGGGTCACGTGGCTCTCTCAAGCTTGGCGACCAAGACGGGGAGTGGCTGCAGACGGGTGGGGCGAGGGCCGGCGTCACATGACGGTGGAGGGACAGCTGCCACCGAGCCCCCTGGGCGCGGCCATGTTGGAGGTGGAGCTTCTGGTTTCCTGCATCAGTGTTTCCGTCTCTACCCCCCCCACTTCCTTAGCAACCTGATACCTGCGCCTAGCTTGCGGCGCGCCCCGCCCCCTCCACACTCTCGCGCAGCGGCGACACTGTTGCGGCAGGCGAGCGGTCTGAGTTACTTTCGACCGGAGGGTGAGTGACAGTGGGGCCAGGGGTCACTGGGGAAGAAGACCCACCCCGGAGCTGGAGACACCCACCTGGGGCCAGGAGTTACTTATGGGCGGAGAACGACGGAGGTCCGCCCTCCTCGCTACGTGGGAGAGGGGTCTTTCACCCTATCGGCGTAGTGTCTACACCGGACTGTTGTAACTGCCAGTGGCTGTCATCCACCCGGACCCCCATCCCTGAGGCGAAGAATCACTTTCGGCCCCCACTCTGGATGGGCGGGATGTCGAGGTTGAGGGTGATCCCAGGCCTGCAGGCTTGGGACCGCGCCCTATGACCCCGTGACTCGATTCCTGACTATCGGGCCATCTGGGCGCTGGAGGCAGCTTCTGGCTCCAGCCTCTTAAACCTGCCTCCCCGCCGAGCACCTGTAGGAGAAGAAATGTAGGTCGCTGGCACTGCTGTCCCCGGTGCCCACAGAGACCAGCTGTGCACCAGTACCCACCGTGGCCCTTCTGGGAGTGGTGAACTTGTTTGCCCTTGCTCCCCCCTCATCCCCGTGCTTGGCACAGACAAAGTAAGCGCTCAGTAAACAGCAGAGAGTTATTTTGAAAATACAGTGGCAGGGCCTGGACCGTTGATAAGCGGTGAGTGTTGACTGTTATTGCCGTATGTGCCAGCAACTAGCAACAGCAACAGCAGGCACTGAGATAGCAGAGGGAGGAAGGGGAGACAGTGCCGTTTGCCCACAATTCCATCCAGGGTCTTATGGGAGCCTAGCTTAAAATGGTTGAGAGAATGAATAGTAGTTGGCCCATGCCTGGCACATAGTAGGAATGCAGTAAATCTTTACTGAACAAATGAAAGTGCTGATTGTAGATGATTCCTCCTCCTTCACTTGGTTTTATTCCAGCAATTACCGAAGTGCCGGGATGGCTGTGGGAGGGAGGACCCCTGGCTTTATTTACCACAGCCCCTTCTCATTCCTAACTACCATCCGTACTGGAGTTTTAGAATCCAAATGGGTATCCCTAGCTTGTTGTGTGTTGGCACCAGTTCTTAGTCTGGTCTCATGACACCCATGTATGATATGTGCACTTGTCAGTGTTTCAGGGGAGTGGAGCAGTGGGTTTCAGCAGATTCTCAAAAATCCACTGCCATCGAGTTGATTCCGACTCATAGCGACCATGTTGTTGTTGTTGTTGTTATGTACCCTCGAGTCGGACCCGACTCATAACAACCCCTCCTTGGGTTTCGGAGGCAGTATCACTACAGAAGTAGATTGCCCAACCTTCCTTCCAAGGAGTGGCTGGTGGGTTTGAACCGCCAGCCTTCTGGTTAGCAGTCTAAGGCTACCAGAGCTCCTAGTGACCATATAGGACAGTAGAACTGCCTCATAGGGCTTCCGGTGCTGTAACTATGGAAACAGACTGCCTCATCTTTCTCCTGCAGAGTGGCTGGTTGGTTTGAACCACTGGTCTTTTGCTTAGCAGCCAAATGCTTTAACTACTGTGGCAACAGAGCTCCTTCAGATTCTCAGAACCAAACTCCAAAACCAAGCTCACTGTCATCAAGTCCATTCCAACTCATAGCGACCCCCATTGGGTTTCCAAGGCTGTAAATCTTTACAGGAGCACACTGCCTCATCTTTCTTCCGTGAGGCAGCTGGTGGATTCGAACCACTGACTTTTTGGTAACAGCCAAATGCAGTAACAGCTATACCACCAGAACTCCTTTCAGAGTCTCAAAAGGAAGGTTATCACATTCAAATTTTCACTACTGTGTGTTTGTGCCTTATTGTGCAAGAGTAGTGCTGTGTTTTGTTTAAGCATTTATTTTCCCCACCAGTCTGCCAGCTGGCACTCCGCACTCTGCTGGCTTGCCTGTGGTTGCCGCGGTTCAGAGCTTTGTACTTGGTGGATGTTCGGTCATTATAATTACTCTTAACTGACTTCAGGGTATGCTGAAAGAGAACAGCCTGGAAGGCAGGCACAGACATGAGAGCCTTTGTTCTGAACTGGACCTAAATTGGTGAATTTGGGTCTGGTTGGTGCTGGGATACACTCTAAGACTTCCAACCCCTGACCTGGTCTTTGTGGAGTAACATGAGCTCAGGAATCATCAGCCTGCATGGTCAAGCTCTCGACCCCTTCTGTCATACACACACAAACTGCTCCAAATACCAGGGTGTGTTCCAGGCAGGGCCAGACTGAGCTAGTCCTTTGGAGAGTGATCCAGTGACCCTGAACCTCTCTGGGCTTCACCTCCACCAGCTCTGCAGTCTCCAGCCCATGCCTCCTCCTCCCATCCTACCCGCTTCCCGTCGCCTTTGGCTCAAGTCTCAGCCCGCCCCCTTTCCTGGAATCCTCATCATCCCCCCCCCTTGCTTTGCGCCTGCCCCTTGCTCTGAGCATTTCCTTTGTCGCAACTCCGCCCAGTCCTTCCCCGATGGAGAAGGTTCCTCAGTTCCCTCCCCACCCACTCCGGGTCTAAGCTGGCAGACATGGACCATCTAAAAGCCAGGGCCCTCCCTGCCAGGCACTCCTGCCCCTCCCCAGGAATGCGAGCCTGGGAGGCCAGCAGCGCAAGGTTCTCTGTGTCACCCTCCATCAGGTAGCTGTCACCGAGGCACCATGGGTTGAAGGAGCTTATTTCCGTGCTGGGCGGGGGCTGTCGTTCACGGAGCCAGGCAGCGGCGGCGGAGGGCACAGCTTTGAGTGAGACAGTCTTAGCGGAGGAGCAAAGGGCTCCTGGGTGGGGGCCGATTCAGCCTTCCCCCACTGACCTTCCGTGTGGAAATGCAGCGTCTCTCGCTGGAACCTGCCACTTAGGTGCCTGAGTGTGCCTGGGGCTTGGCTGCCTGGCCTCTGACGCCCCTGCCCCTGCCCCACCCGTGCAGCAGAACCCTGGCCATGGTGAACGAAGCCCGAGGGAGTAGTGGCCCCAGCCCCCACTTGGAGGGCAGCAGCAGTGGCAGTGAGAGCTCCAAGGACAGTTCAAGATGTTCCACGCCGGGCCTGGACCCTGAGCGGCACGACAGGCTCCGGGAGAAGATGAGGCGGAGGATAGAATCTGGAGACAAGTGGTTCTCCCTGGAATTCTTCCCTCCCCGCACTGCTCAGGGAGCTGTCAATCTCATCTCAAGGTGAGTCGCTGGAAAGTGAAGCAGTCATACCAGGTGGGGGAAGGTGAACTGTCAGCCCCCTTGGCTGCATTGCACCTTGACCCAGAAGAAAAAGGTAACCAGAGGGGGCAGGAAAGAAAAGGACATTTGATCTGCAACTTCTCAAATGTCACAGTGTCAGGAATTTTCAGACACACCCTTCTGAAAAGCCAGTGGTTAAAACTTTAAAACTGCTTATTTTTTTAAACTACTTTCTTTGGAGGAACTTGGGCTGGAGCATGCGTAGTTTGGGAAATCCCAAAGCAGCTACTTGGGGAATGTCTGCAGTGAGCTAGGGATTTGGATGAGGCCTCTTAAATTTGAGAAATGCCAACTAGATTATGTTAGCAATGCAGTGGAGAACTGCAGTTTCCCTCAGAGGCCTTTTACTATTTGCACTTCTCATGTGTCTCCCTGGGTTTTGAGTTTTAAAGACACAAGGACTTTTAAATGTGCCATGTTGTGGTCAGTAACACACGTGCATGTGTATCTGTGACTTGAGTCTAGCTCAGGGACCATGGCCTTGGTCTGTACACTGTTCACTGCTGCCCTGGGCCAGGGAGGCAGCATAAAAGAGACTTGGGGCTGCAGCCCTCTTCGTTCCAGTTCTTAGAATGAGGCCCTTCTTCCCACTCGGAGATTGCTCCAGCCCTTTACCATTGAAATGTCTTAACTCACCTGCCTAAAGGGCTGCACTCACAGCAAATGGTGGTGGTGGTGGTGTTGTCATATGCTGTCTCCATAATAAGGAGCTCTGGTGGCCTAGTGCCTAAGGCATCTGACTGCTGACCAGAAGGCTGGTAGTTCAAACCCACCAGCCACTCCTCAGAAGGAAGATGGGGCAATCTATTTCCGTAGTGATACTGCCTCTGAAACCCAAGGAGGGGTCTCTGTGAGTCAGAGCCGACTCCATGGCAGTGAGTTTGGTTTGGTTTTTTTTGGTCTCCATAATAAAGAGTGCTGGTGGTATAGTGGTTAAGGCACTTGGCTGCTAACCAAAAGGTTGATGGTCCGAACCCACCAGTCTCTCCACAGAAGAAAGATGAGGCAGTCTGCTTCCATAGATTTACAGTCTTGGAAATTATCCTCACAGAAGCATCTCACACTTATTGAGTACTCACTATTCTAAGTGCTTTTGTGCCATCTATCATGCTGTTCTCAGTGTTACTGTGAAGTTGTTAGTTCTGTAGAGTCCAGTCTGACTAACAGCAACTCTATGTGCACAAAGTAGAACCGTGCTCCATGGGTTTTCAAGGCTGTGACCTTTCAGGAGAGATTGGATTGCCAGGCCTTTCTTCTCGGGCACCTCTTAGTGGGTTTGAACTACCAACTTTTCAGCTTAACTGCGCCACCCAGAGACTTCTCTTGTTATCAAGTAGGTGCTGTTATCTGCCACATTTTATTGATGAGGGTTGGAGAGGTTAAGTAATTCACCCAAGATCACACAGCTCATAAGTAGCAAAGGTAGTACATGAATGCAAGTTGGCCTGACTCCAACATGCATCTTAAGCGTCTAGCTCCCAGATGGTGGTGAAGGATGATGCTTCCCCAGGAGCTGTTCTTCAGAAACACATTCCCTACAGGTTTGACCGGATGGGAGCTGGCGGCCCCCTGTTCATTGATGTGACCTGGCACCCTGCTGGGGACCCAGGCTCTGACAAGGAGACCTCCTCCATGGTGATTGCTAGCACTGCTGTGAACTACTGTGGCCTGGAAACCATCTTGCACATGACCTGCTGCCGTCAGAGCCGGGAGGAGATCACAGGCCATCTACACAGGGCCAAGAGGCTGGGACTGAAGAACATCTTGGCATTAAGGGGAGGTGTGGCACCAGCACTCCCCTGCTCTTTGTGTTTTACTTCTTGATGTCCTGTTCTGTCACGGGGATGGTCCTTTTGTATCCCTTGGGCCCCACTCTGGTCATGCTCAGGGCTCCATTCTGGACAGGAGCATCAGTAGGCATTAAGAGTCATGAGTCTGCCATGGCACCACAGAGATGGAGCCACCTCTGGCCTTGACACAGGTTCAGTCGGAAATGCAGCCAGCGCCTGATAACCCTCTGCCCTAGCCACACAGCTTCATCGATCTTGGGCTGTGCCCAACTCTTGACCCAACCAGGGAGTGCAGCTCTTGGCCTTTGTGCCAGGAGTGAGAATAGCCAATTATGCTGTCATTAAGAGCACCCAAATGTGGGAAGGAGAGAGCCTCCTGGGGGGACATTGTGGTCTCCTGTTCCCCACTAAAGGCCATTTCTCTTTGATTGAGCTGAATAAAGAATCCTCCCAAGAGGCAAAAACTCCAGGAGAGTGGGAGAGGAGCCAGGAGGGTTGGGCAAGGGCCGCTGGACACAGCTGGGTTGAAGCAGGGAAGGAATTTCAAATCCTTCAGGCTCAGTGGAGAGCAGCGTGGTAGCACAGTGCCTGGCACAGAGTCAGCACTCAGTAAATACTTGCTGTCTTCCTCCCTAGTTATCAAGTGTTGTGCTAGAAAGGAGATAAAACTGAAATCACACAAGGTCCCTGTCTTTAAGGAACTCACAGTGCCAGGTAGAGGGATAGGTAGAAGGAAAGAAAAAAGGCTATCTGAACTCAGAAAGTGCCCAAAGAGGTTGGACGAGACCCAGTGAACATGACCTCCACCCACCCTGCAGACCCCATAGGTGAGCAGTGGGAAGAGGAGGAAGGAGGCTTCAGCTATGCTACAGACCTGGTGAAGCATATCCGAAGTGAATTTGGTGACTACTTTGACATCTGTGTGGCAGGTGAGTGGAGCCTCCCACTGGGAAGGGGACAGAGGGGAAGGGACGAGACATACAACACTGAGCAGAGGAATAGAGAGCCGCCAGTATTCAATCAGACACAGTAATCAGGTGCTCTGAGGGCCTGAGCTTGTGCTTGATAAAGCAGGTACGAGGTGAGTTAAGGTCCTTACCCTCGTTCTCTCATCCTCTGCCCTTCCAATCCCACCACCACCCCCTGAAGTGTTTTTTCTGAGTTTTCATGCTCTTCGTCTACTTCCTAGTCCTATTTTTCTCTACAAACCCCTCCCCCCCAATATATATCTATTAAGAAGATTCCAAGGAATAAGTAATCTCATAAGTCAAGGGCAGAAAATGCACCAGACTTCACTAGACCCCAGAACCAAGAACCAGGAAGCAGTCAAACTAAGGCCCTCCCTCATGCTCTCAGGGCCGCAGTCACCCATCTCTGCCCCCAGCTGCACAGATTCCGCCTGCTTCATCCATAGTCCTGATGTGTATGCTTCTCTATGTACCTAACTGCCAGCATCTCCTAAGTATACAGTGTCCATTCTAGCCACTAGCCCAGACTCATTGACAGGTTTCAGTCTCAGTTCTAGAGTTTGGTTGGCCCAGCTCTAGTTCCATCGGCTATATTTGGGAGGCCAGATTGGATTCACCTGGCTGAACGTGATGGGTGGCCTTCCCTCCCTCCCTCCCACCTCTGCTCACCGGGGTTGGGCCTTAAGCATCTTAAACGGGGCCACAGGTACAGTTACTTTGGCACCTCTTTTTGGAATGACATTTTCTCCAAATATTTTGGGGAAAATCATACCATTTTTATGCTAAAACAGATTGTACTATTAGATTATGGAGTAAACCAAACCAAACTCACTGCCATCAACTTGATTCTGACTCATAGCAACCCCCACTGGGTTCCCAAGGCTGTAAACCTTATGGAACCAGACTGTCTCATCTTTATTCTGTGAAGTGGCTGGTGGGTTCAAACCAGCGGCCTTTTGGTTAGCAGTCAAATGCCTTAACCACTAGCCTACCAAGGAGCTCTGGCAGTGTAGTGCCTAAGGCACTTGACTGCTAACCAGAAGGCTGGCAGTCCAAACCCACCAGCCACTCCTCAGAAGGAAGGTTGGGTAGTCTACTTCTGTCGTGATACTGCCTCGGAAACCCAAGGAGGGGTTGCTATAAGTCGAGTCCGACTCGATGGCACCTAACAACTATCCCACCAGAGCTCCTTAGATTATGGAGTAGTGTGTTAAAATGTATACCTTAAAAAAAAGCCATGTGGCTTCAAGGGAAGCACTCACTTGTAGGTGAGTGATTTTAGGCTCTATTCCCTGTCTCCACATACATGTCCACTCAGTCAACAGAATGCTTCAATGGATATGTTTGGGAAGCACTGAGAAGAATGGGTGTTTCCTACTATTCAAATATTCATTGCTTATAGTGGCCATAATGCAGTCAGGTGATTGGGGAATGTGTACGGGTGCACCAGTCACACTAGACATGACCGTGGTTGGGAGTTAAAGCTGTGCACTCATACTGGCTGCATGGCTTTGGCTTATCATCGAGTGGATGATAAAGAAGATCAGTGGATAAGAAGCACCCAGCTGGTGGTGAGAAGTATAGTAAATTGAGCAGAGTCCAAATGTAATCAAATGCTAGATTTGTTTGGTGATACTTAGGTTTCAGTTTCAGCTCTTAAAAGCCACTTTGTTTCTGAAAATCCAACTAGAAAAATAGCTTTGTTATTGAAAGTGAAAGTCTGCTGGTTGGTCCCTGCCCTCTATAGAAATTGAAACAATTTCTATATCCATTTTTTGATGACTTCGGGTTTCTGAAGAACAGAACTCTCTTATCATAACAATGCAGCCAGTGTTTGGCTGCCCCCTCCCTAGCACGGGGTCCTGCCCTGGTTCAGGCTGAGCAAGTGCCTGTGTGGTTTCATTGAGGCCTGCACTCAGCCCTGCCCTGCTTGGCTTAAGCAGGGCCACTAGTCATTTTAGTCATCTAGGGAGGGGCCTTAGAAACCATAGAACTAGAAGGATCTTAGCGAGCATCTGGCCCAAACTGCCAGGCAATTCTGGAGCTCCATCTTAGTGTCCTGGAAGTTAATCCTCTCGGCTGGCCTGGTACTGGCAGACTTCAGGAGCTCACTGTCATGTGGGGCTGTTCATTCCGTTGTTAGGCAGCTTTCCAGAATTTATCCTAGTTCTGCCATCAGAAGCAACACAGAATCTAACTAATAAGGACTTAGACTAAGTTGAATCCTTTTTCCTGTGATGGAAAGTAGTTGTTACCATGTCTTGTTAGTTCTTTTCTTCAAACAAAACACCTCTGCTTCTTCCCTTCTTCCTTATATAAAACATGGTTTCTAGCTTTTCACTATCCTGGACCCCTGAGTCGTTTGTTTGTTTGTTTGTTTTTTAATTAAAAACAGTGTTTGAATCCAGTACCTAGAATCAAGCACAGCAAGCACTTCAGTGCTGCCTGACCAGTGCCGAGTGTAACACCTCCTCTTTCCGATGGTAACAAAGTATAGTCTTGATTTGCCTGGCTGATTGCAAGGGACATGAGGCAGGACAGTGTAGGGAGCCATCCACCCCCACTCCCAGGAGAGTGGCTGGAAGCCAGGTCTCACCGAGGGCCATCTTCGGGTTAAAGGAGCTCATCAGCTGTGAGCCCAGCTAGTCAGGTTTCAGCCCTGCCCATGCTGAGTACCAAGAGGTACGATCTGGAACCCGAGGCAGAGGACTCCCTGTTTCAATCTGGCCTCTTCATCGCTTACTTTGAACAGGCAGAGGCCAGCCTCTCCCTACTGTCATCCCTGTTGGCAGGTTACCCCAAAGGCCACCCCGAAGCAGAGAGCTTCGAGGCTGACGTGAAGTACTTGAAGGAGAAGGTGTCTGCAGGAGCCGACTTCATCATCACCCAGCTTTTCTTTGAAGCTGACACGTTCTTCCAGTTTGTTAAGGCTTGCACCGAGATAGGAATTACCTGCCCTATCCTCCCCGGAATCTTTCCTATTCAGGTGAGAGTCCCAGGAGGGCCAGTATACTCCCTCTGTGCCCCTGTCCTACTCAGCCAGGGCTCTGGGGCAAAGGTTCAGTTCATGCTGAAGTTTTCTGTGATGCTTGACTGCACTTCCCGCCAGACACGCCAGACAGTCAGATGTGCCAGACCTCCCGGAATGTCTTGCCACCCCCCCATTTTGGTTGCATTTCATTTTCGCCCCAAATACCCAGCAGTGTGTTAGAGGGGAGTCACTCTACCGACAAGTAGTATTACAAGAGATTATAACTCTTAATTTGGATAATGAGAAGGTTAAATCAGTGTTTCCCAAACTTGGCTGATCATTTGAATCATTTGGTGAGTGTGTTCAAAGATGGATTTCCAGGTTCCACCCCTCGAAGTTTTGATTCTGTAGATCTGAGGTGTATGTGTTTTTTTACTTCTCGAGTTTTGCAGGTGAGTCTGATGATCAGGGAGGCTTGGGAACCACTGGGTTGTGTGACCACTGTGATATCAACGAGTACTTCTAGGGCTCAGACTGATGGCAGAAGAGCAGCTGCTGTACACAGCAAAGAAGGGGACAAGTAGGCCAAGCCAACGAACTCACAGAATTGGCCCAGCTCTCCTGGGTGACTCTGCGTCACACTGCAGTTGGCCAGGAGACTTGGGGATGGAAAGGCGGTAAGAGGTGGACTGGGAGATGGCACCCACCTCCCCTCATGTCTGGACAGGGCTACCACTCCCTTCGGCAGCTTGTGAAGCTGTCCAAGCTGGAGGTACCTCAGGAGATCAAGGATGTGATTGAGCCCATCAAAGACAATGATGCTGCCATCCGCAACTATGGCATCGAGCTGGCTGTGCGCTTGTGCAAGGAGCTCCTGGCAAGTGGCTTGGTGCCAGGCCTCCACTTCTATACTCTCAACCGTGAGGTGGCCATCATCGAGGTGCTGAAGCGCCTGGGCATGTGGACTGAGGACCCCAGGTGAGGGCAGTGGCTGAGTTCATGCCAGGGGAGCCATGGTGGAGTCGGTGGGCCAGGAAGTCAGAAGGCACAAGCAGAGCTGTGTCCTAGTAGCTAGTCACCCAGGGTGGTACTGAGGTGTGTTCTGCACTGTGGGTGGCTGGGCCATGGGCCATGGACCCAGTTCTCAGTGAGAACTTCATGTGCAACTTGAGATGTATGAGTCAGACCAAAGAACCCAGGTGCAGTGGGACTTCCTCCTCCCTGTTCCCTTTAACCCACTGAAACCAAACGACACTGCTGTCAACTTGATCCCGACTCATAGTGACCCTATAGGACAGAGTACAACTGCCCATAGGGTTTCTGAAGGTATCTTTATAGAAGCAGACTGCCACATCTTTCTCCCGCAGAGTGGCTGATGGGCTCAAACAGGGAGCCTCTTGGTTAGCAGCCGAGAACCTAACCACTGTGCCACCAGGGATTCTTTTCTGCTCTCTAGCTGGACCCTTACCCTGTGATCTCCCTTCTTAACCCAGGCGCCCCCTGCCCTGGGCTATCAGTGCCCACCCCAAGCGCCGAGAGGAAGATGTGCGACCCATCTTCTGGGCTTCCAGACCAAAGAGTTATATCTACCGCACCCAGGAGTGGGATGAGTTCCCGAATGGCCGCTGGTGAGTTCCTGCAGACCTTCTGCTGCAAAGGAGTATCTTGGGGGCTGGAAGGGGCAGCGGAGCCTGCGACAAGAATGGATCCCCAGGGCACGTGGGTGGTAACTGCCCTCTCGGGCCCAAGGTCAGGGGTGTGTACCTACCTTCTCCTCCAGGGGCAATTCCTCCTCTCCAGCCTTTGGGGAGCTGAAGGACTACTACCTTTTCTACCTGAAAAGCAAGTCCCCGAAGGAAGAGCTGCTCAAGATGTGGGGGGAGGAGCTGACCAGTGAAGAAAGTGTCTTTGAAGTCTTTGCTCACTACCTCTCAGGAGAGCCAAACCAGAACGGCTGCAAAGTGAGTGGTGCTGCGGTGGGAGCCCTGTTAGATGCCTCACCATCTCCAGCCTTGGGGTAGACCTTGAGGCTGTGACTTCCTTACTCTGAGCCTCATTCCCTCCATGCCATAGACGTGGCACCTTGGTACACAGGACACAGGGAGATGGATGAGTTGGGAAATCTCCGCCTGAGGATGCCTGCCAGTCATCTGGGGGTGGGGTGCTTTGAGGACTGACCATGAGAGGGAGGGGCCTAAGGGGCCTGATCTGATTGTTGCCCCAGCTGGCTGGCCCTCTCTCCCAGGTGACTTGTTTGCCCTGGAATGATGAGCCCTTGGCGGCTGAGACCAGCCTCATGAAGGAGGAGCTACTGCGAGTGAACCGGCAGGGCATCCTCACCATCAACTCCCAGCCCAACATCAATGGGAAGCCATCATCTGACCCCATTGTAGGCTGGGGCCCCAGCGGAGGCTATGTCTTCCAGAAGGTACAGTGGGTACATGACCAGCACCCAAGGGTTTTCCAGAGGAAAGGGGAGGGAGAACCCTTTCTGTCCTGAACAGCAGTAGGTCAGAGTGGACAGAGTTCATGCGTTAAGTCAGACAGACCTGAGTTCAGATCTGCACTGTGCCGTTTACTGGCTGTGTGATGGTGGACAGGCCACTTAATGTCTGTGAGCCTCAACTGTTTCATCTGTAAAATGGGACCCACATCTTCATGTCCTGGAGGTGAACTGTGGCCGGGCATGTAAAGTGTTCAGCACAACAGGAAAAACATGGAGAGAGTTCTCTAAATCATAAATAAGTTGTTAGCACCCTTCTGAGTTGACATCTCTCTCCTAGGGCTGCCAGGGTGAAAATTATATTCTAAACTAAAGCCCATGGGCTCTGGGTTTGAGTACCAGCTCTGCTGTTTACCATCAATGTGACCAAGTTGCTTAACTTCTCTGAACTTTGTTTTCCCATCTGTAAAATGAAAGTAATCATCCCTACCCTGCAGTATTATGAGCATCACAGCAAATGAATGTGAATATGACCCTGATAGTTGGTGCTAAGGAAGCCCTTGATGTCATTGTTATCATCCAGCGCTGGGGAGGATGGAATGTACCATGCCTCGTTCGCATACCTTAGCTTATCAAACTAGGCCTTCTGCACAGCTCCAGGAATGGCCTCTCCGTGGAGCCTTCTGTGAGTGGTGGAGAGGTGGCAGGCATTCCACAGACCTGTCCAAGCTGAGAATCCCACATACCTCCTCCCCTCGCCCTTTCCTATGTATTTGCCAATCATAGCCTAGGTGTCTGCGAGGCCCCTCCCTGGGACAGCTGGGGCAGATGTCTGTGTGGTGTGTGGTGCACGCAGCATACCCAGCAGCACACAGGTGTTGGGCATGTGCCGGGGTCGCTGTGACGAGGGTCCGTCTGTTCTGCAGGCCTATTTAGAGTTCTTCACTTCCCGTGAGATGGTGGAAGCGCTGCTGCAAGTGCTGAAGAGGTACGAGCTCCGGGTCAATTACCACATTGTCGATGTGAAGGTAGGCTGGCTCCAGGGGCTCAGACAGTACAGGCCAAAGGCACCTACATCTGTTTCTTCATTTAGCAATCACAGAGACCTAGCCTAGGCCGAGGATCATGCTAGACAGAGATAGAGACATTCAGAGAGCTCCTAGCTAGAGAGGGAGATGATTTGAAATCAGTGCAATTAGGAAAATGAAGTTCAGTTTAGGAAGCCACAGGATCCCAAAAGAGGGACCTCTAACCTGGAGATAAATTTCTTGGAGGGGTCATGTGTGGCCTGAGTTTTTCAGAGTGGAGAGGAGTTGGCCAGAGGACAGAGGGCATTCCAGAGAAAAGACAGAGGATATGCCAAGACATCGAGCTCCTGGGCCTAGGGGGGAAACTGCTAACATGCGAAGCAGGGGCAGGTCCTCAGGGGTCTTGATTGCCCTGTTCACAATGGGTTTTTACCCAAGGCTTCAGTGGTGGAATGCCTTGGGTCTGTGTTTCACTTTAGAAAGATCACAGTGAGCTGCTGTATGACTAACAGGCAGGGAAGACCAGAGCAGGAAGGCTAGTTAGGAGCTCTGTATAGTCTAAGGCCTGGCAGTGGGCTGGACCAAAGGGAAGCAACTAGAGAGAGTAAGCAGGTAGGACCAGCAGTTGTGGAGGCAGATGGGAGCCCAGCAGGAGAAAGGAAGTGCTGAAGGGACCTCGAGGTTTCAGGCTCACTGGAGAGGAGCACTAGGAGGAGCAGGCTGTAGAGGACACTGAGCAGAGAAGGGGTCCCAATGAGTTGAGTTCTCCAGGCAGTAAAAGACCTTTGTCCCAGGTCTGCTCTCACCCTTACCCACCCCATCCTCAGGGTGAGAACATCACTAATGCCCCTGAGTTGCAGCCCAATGCAGTCACGTGGGGCATCTTCCCAGGGCGAGAGATCATCCAGCCCACGGTGGTGGACCCCATCAGCTTCATGTTCTGGAAGGTAAAGGAGCAGGAAGCGAGCTGCTCTCTGTACTCTGGAACCTTGGGGTGGCATTATTGCTAGGTTTTTAGTGCATGGCCGGAGGACACACCTCCAGGGCTGGCTGACTCAGCTTTGATGGCAGTGGACCAACTCTGATGCATCAGAGTTGTACTCAGCATGTTTATTTCTGAGTTGGGTGGGGGTGGCCCTGGAATCAGGCCTTATTCCATTCCTGGAGATTCCCTGTTGGGAGTGGGCAGAAGCCGTGGGGCACTGAGCATGGATAAGCCCTGATCCATGGGCATCCTGTTGACCTTGCCTGTGTACAGGATGAGGCCTTCGCCCTGTGGATTGAGCAGTGGGGCAAGCTGTATGAGGAAGAGTCCCCATCGCGCATGATCATCCAGTATGTCCATGACAACTACTTCCTGGTCAACCTGGTGGACAATGACTTTCCACTGGAAAACTGCCTATGGCAGGTCATGGAGGACACATTTGAGCTGCTCAATAGGCCCACTCCAGAATGAGGACCAGATAGCAGCTCTGTGACCTGGTGTTCCGACATCTTTACCTGGGGCTGCTTGAGTCCCGCCTTCCTCTCCCTGCCCTCCGGTCTTGATTCTCCTGAGAACCCTCCTCTCCCTCCTTTCTCTCTAAGCCCTGGCCTCCACTCCCACATGATGATGGCAGCTAGACCAGTGTGAGGCTTCCAGGCACTGGCTGGACCCGAGTCAGCCCGTCATGGAGCCTGGTGTTTACTGTGGGGCCCCGCCATCCTGCAGAGAGCCACATGGGATGGGAGGAGGGCACACAATCGTCCCTGGGAAGGGAAGAGACTGGCTATTGCAAACTGGGACTTTGCACTATGGCTGCCCCTCAGAGCCAGGCTGAGACTCCAGATGAACTTGTACTTGAGGCCTGCACAGGACTGGAGGAGTGGAAGTGGGCATGGGCTCTTGTTTGCAGAGGAGACATGGCTCCAAGACACTGCAGCTGGGCACTCCCCACTTGTGATAGATGGTGCAAACCACTGGCTGCCATCTACTTGGTTGGCCAAGGTGCCAGGCCCCTGGATAGGCCTGAGGCTGAAATCGGACAAGGCAAGCTTTTTTTGCCACCTACCTGAGAGCTCTATTGTTTTTTTAAATTATTATTATTTTTAAATCTTTCTACAGTACTGATTTTTGGAACTATTGTCTCTATATTCTGGTTGTTCAAGGGAAAAAGTGTTCCTGAAGGGTTAAAGGCAGTCTGCTTGGTGTAGCCCATAGCCTCCCTCTGCTCCCACCCCGCCCTGCCCATTGAGGGATACACCCCACATTCATTCCAGTCAAGGACACAAAAACAAGGTTTGTAGGGGAAGGGGCTGAAGCAGCCAGAGCCACCTTTTTACTTCCTCTGGGCTAGAGGCTGGGAATGACCAAGCAGGAAAAGCCTCTAGCACTCAGGAAGGCATTTTATTGTCCCTAGACCATGGGATGCGTGCTGCAGCCTCCCCTGGGGAGGCCAGCTTGCTTCTGCTTTTGCCTTTATGGGAACAAGTCACAGTAGCAGCTGTGCCCCTGCTTCGCCCTGAGTCTGCCATGCCCAGGGGCTCCGGCATCTTCTGGCCTGCTCCCACGGCCCTCGGGGGCCCAGCTTCCTTGGAGGTCTCAGGCTGCTATTGGCTCCACTTCTCTGGCCCTTGGCTATGAGATGCCACTTCTCAAAGGCCTGGAGTCAGGAAGGGAGGGAGCTGTTTGTCTCAGGCCTCCCCCTGGGTCTGTGCTGCATGTGCCAGGGTCACAGCTGTGCCTGGTGCCTGTAGTCTCCCTGAGGGTGACAGGCCCCTCCCCTTACCCACAGCTACAGGCACGGCTCAAAATAGATCTGACTGAAAGCCTGGAAAGCTGTGCTTGGATGGGGGTGGGGATGGGGCAGGCACATGAGGGAGGGGCCCTCCAGGGACCTAGGCCCTATAAGGACAAGTGTGAGCAGCAGCTGTGGGCACTGGCCAGGCCTTGTTTCCAAGCTGAGTGGCAGGGGTGGGACTGGGCTGAGCACATGTCCCCCAGCCACACCAAGAGTTCCAAACTCAAGTATTTTTCTCTGACCAAACAGATCACTCCTGAAGTGAAGGGGGCCCTGAGGTATGATGAGGAGCCCTGGTGGCTCAGATGTTAACCACTGGGCTATTAATCAAAAGATCAGCTGTTCAAACCTACTAGCTGCTCCAAGGGAGAAAACAACTGCTTCCATAAAGATTACTGCCTTGGAAGCCCTACAGGGCACTTCTGCTCTGTTGTGTAGGGTGACTGAGTCTGAACTGATAGGGTACCAATGGGTTGGTGTATGGGCCCAAGCTCAGAAATAGCACTGCGTGGCACTGGCATGGTTGACGGGGTGAAGTGGGGTGGGGCCGTACTGCCCAGCACCCAGGAAAGGATGCTGCTGTCTTGTTTCAGGAATCACTGAGCTACCCACAGCTGCAGGACCCGCCACCACCACGTCCCCCACACCCATCTCGTGCTGCTGCCTGAGCTGTGGGGATGGTGGGCAGAGAAGGCCTGAGCCAGGGCTGGGCATAGTACACTCTCCCACCCCCGGGCTCTCTAGCCACTCCCGGCCCTCTGGGCAAGGGGCAGAGACATCATCTGAGGTTGTTGTTGTTGTTTGCCATCGAGTCGACCCCAACTCATAGCGACCCCTCCTTGGGTTTCTGAGGCAGTATCACTACGGAAGTAGGATTGCCCAACCTTCCTTCCGAGGAGTGG